GGGCCCGTCACGCCCCGCCAACCCTGTCTTCCGGCGAACAACACATTCCTGACTGTCACAATGCGACCATCTACTAGGTGCCTATATGTATATAAACTTACCAATATATTTTTCACTTATATATTTTTCACTCATAATAATTCCGTAACGACGGAGGGAATTAGTATTTTAGTTAGTACAGGGACTAGCAGTCCCATTGCTAGCGATATCAGTCAGGTTGACTTCCACACGGTTCCACCTGGAATCGATCATGTATAGGTATATTATCAATTCATGTTGAATTGGTCACGAGGAACTAGCTAACCTGCTTCTATCCTCACCTATCATCCCTCACTTATGGCTTACAAGTGTATACCGATAGCACGGGATGGGTTACCATTGCATTACCACTCATTATATAACATATTATTCCGCTGTTCCTGCTTCTACCACTCCTCTGGCGCTAGTTTATCTGGAACTCTTCAAGAAGAAGAATGTACTTTTATTTCGAGTTTTACTTATTATTGCACTGGTATTTAATAATTTATTTATAGCTCACAAAATAGAGGTCAATGTATAAGTACTATACATTGAACGTTGACACAGAATATGCATTATAAAAAACAACCTGAACTATATTACGACATTTTAAGGATGAAAAGAGGAAAGGCACGTTATTTTCTTGTTGTATCAGCCTTTTACTATACACTGTTGAGCATAACCTACCCATAAAGGGGATTATGCCAGTAATTGCCACGCTTGGCAGGTGAGTTGGCAACCGTAGTTTAGATTTTGGTAATGTTTTAAGGAGGACGCTGCTACCCATCCCTCTACCATAAGCTCCTTTAGTCGCCTCTTACGACACCCACGGAAAAGGAAGGAGTGGTCTATTCTATGCCGGGACCTATAAGGCAGCTATATTATTATATTCTTACTTCATCAAAATAGATAGGTTTTTTGTAATGATTAAGAATACTATGCTGACAGTCCACCTGATGGGAACTTGATTCCGTCGCCTCAAAACGGTGACACCACGGAACATGGTGACAGAAAGTTCATCTTTCTGAAGTGCTCATGTATATAGGTAGATGTATGCTCATATACCGAATCATATATTTCTGTATGTACATAGTATATATAATAATAAAGTATACCTATGTGAGATGAATGGCGAAATTGGAAAACGTTTCGGGATATTTAAATTTCGGCTAATGGTGTTATTCAGCAGCTGGCGGCGGCACAAAGCCGAGCGCAGGCCGCGGCGCGCTGCACTGTTATTATCTCAACACCATCGCGCTCACACCTAACCTATTCCTTTTTTACCAGACGCCGTCGTCTTGTTCCTTCCCACCCCAGAGGAGCAGGACCTCCAGTCATTTATACTAAACGCAAATCGGGGCGTTCCTTCGACGATTTATCATTTAACGTTGCCTACAGACATTATTTGAAACGCATTAAAATCGCGGTTGTGGAAAATTTGTCGGCATCGAAATTAGTACTTCTCTCCGAGTGCATAATTTATCGCTTAAGCCGCATCCGGCGCGAATTGCGATATTTCCAATTAGAAATTCATTGACGTTGATGATCCTGCTTGTAACATTACCTTCAAACATTCATCTCATTCGACGATGTTAAGATACATTTAAAAAATGGAGAAAAATAAGTATTAATTGATGACCAGAATGAATAATAGACACAGTTTAACTACCTGTACTTAAACTAGCCGTATGTAACGTATCTTATGAAACTTCTTATAGGGAACTCCCATACAACTTAATATCTTGAATTTCAAAAAAAATTCTCAAAGCTCTCTCATTTTATTTAAAAGCAAAGTCACTGGTTTGGTTGAGATTGCGCATTCAGTCGCTTACATAATCAATCGATGTTAGTTTTATTATAACTTAAGAGAAATAACAATAGTAGTGGCAATGTGCCTAGTTATCTAGGTAATTTAACGATTTAATTATACTATTAAAATCTCACTATTACAGATAAAAAGAATGTGATTCAACTTATATCGCTTAAGTTTTCGGACCTTCATGAACTTTGCAGGTCGTTAATCAAAATTAGTCATGTACATTTAAACCGCGCGTAATGTAACCAACGTAGTCCACTTATCGAAGAAAACATATCGGTCGGATGGAGGAGATGCTCGGGCGTACTGGCGCGGCGAAGCGAGGACCATGCACTGCCCTGAGGAAGCTGTCACGCGCGGCGCGAACATGTGATGAATATGTATCGGCAGGCCGTAGCGGCGCCTTGTAATTTGAGAGTCGCCGGTAATTATTTACGTGAGAATGGGCCGACGCCACCCCCCACCTCCCCGCTCAACAGCCCGCGCCGCACCACCGTAACGAATCGTTGATTGCGCGCGATATACGAGTTGAGATGCCGCTGCGAGATTGCCGCGCACGCTCTGCTGCCCAGCGCTGTTGTAGACTGATTCAATTTTTAGAAATCTGAATCTCGATTTTGGTTCTAGTATAAAATTGAACATGGAATTAGCAACACTGTGACAGCTATTAACTTACACCAAAACTTACAAAAAAAATATAATTAAAATATATATGCTGTACTACTACTATGCACCTACTTGTATTAGGATATCACCCTTGGTGTCGATACTTAAAAAACAAGTATAACCGCTTACCCTCAGGTGGGCCGTATGCATGTTTGCCACCTATTTGCCTTATTCCTATTGCCATTAAACACACACACACAGGACATAATAATTTCTAAAATACCTAAATAAATGTACAAACTTGTTATGTAAATAATTCAATTTCATTAAATAATAAATAACGAAAAACATGTTGTACCTAATAACTGTAATAAGAAAAAAGTTAAAATATAAGATTTAATTGATTGTCATATAAATCAATAAACTATCTTTATGATTTCCTTAATACGGAACCCTGAATACATAAATCCTAAATCAACTCCACCAAATCTTAAATACCTACATATACAAAAACTCTTTTGTTTCTTACAATACTAAAATCTAAAGTGTAGACTGCTATTTTGACTTGAACTGACACTTGCTTGACAAAGGCTTTGCAAGTCGCGCTATAGATCCAGAACAATAATTTAAAAACTCAGCACCTGCAAATATTATTAAATATAAAAACAAATAACTTCTGTGATACAGAACCTTCAATTCACTAGTTAACTCTTAATTTGCCAATTCTCAAAAAACCATTTTCTGCTTGCTCCACGAGAATCTAAAGTGATGACTGTTATTTTGACTTGGACCGATACTTGCGTGACAAAGGCTTTGCAAGTTACGATATTACAGAGCAACGGACCGAAAACTCAGCACCTGCAGACAAATTATTAATTAGAAGAGCAAAATTATTGCCATAATTAATGCAACTTTGTAAACTCGATATATAAAGCCAGTTAAGATGTATCTTTTCGTATTATTATGTTTTCATTATGAAATATATTTATGAATTTTGTTAATAAATTAAGATCCTTTGACAACATGGTATCATTATTGATTTTTAGCAAAAATCCCAATCAATTAATAACAACATCGGAAATATAAATATGTTAATCATTTTAATGACATTTTTACTAAAATTTCAATAACCCTATAGACCAATCATGAAGTCATGACACCCGGGTATTTGTTTAAACAACAACATGTTAAATTGGCTGCTTTCAATAAGTGGGCACGTCGTACACGTCAGGTCCGGGTGGGAGCACCGCGGGGCGCCCGCTGCTTGGCCCCTAAACACACACAGACCGCGGGGCGCCTCGCCCTGCCCGCACCCTACCACTAATAACACACTCTTTCCCTCTGTCATGCCTTATTTCATCCGTACATCTCTTGTTTTTTCACCATCTTCATTTTTTCGTCCTGTGAACCGACCTCGAACATTAACAATAAAACGAATCTTTGATGATAGTAATCCTTCATCCTCATTGTCTTTTGGCAGTTTCGTGGAATAAAATATGTTGTGTTCTCGCGACTTGATATCTGAACGTCATATTATAAATGGCGTCGTTTAAAATATTTTAATACCCTCTACATCACGGCGATATTAATTTAGTACGCTTGAGTGGAACGATGTCGGTGCCACCGGCGGAATGTTAAATGACGGATTACCAGCAGGCAAGATGGAAAGATAACTTAGAGATCGCATTCTATTCTATAGCTGCTCTGCACTGTATCCACTGCCCAATTAATAATTATTATATAGGTATATAGTTATATATTACAATAAATATTAATTGAAACTATCGCAGCCTAGTAATTCATCTGAGGGTAAATTCGAATCTGATATAAACAGTTGATTGATTACAATGGGGAAGAAAGTTTTTGAGTGACGACCCCGTACAAGTAAACGCAGTATAAGACGACCCCGCACTAAATGGAGTGACGACTTCAAATTCATTGAAGGGAGTCAGTGGATATAGATGGCTCAGACTCGATCTTTGTGGCAGTCTATGGGGGAGGACAGATGGACAGTTGACATGATGATAATGATATCGTACATTAGAACTTCATCATCATATAAGCCATTAACTGACCACTGCTGAACATAGGCCTCCCCCATGGGTGTTGCCAGTAGATGCTATGCTTGGCCGGCGGATTGGCAACCGCAGTTAAGCTTTGGTATTGTTTTAAGAGAGGCATTGCTACCCATCACTCGGCAATAAAATTCCCTTTGTCGTCTCTTAAAACACCCACAGGGAAGGAAGCCTATTCTATGCTGGGACTACACGGCGTTAGAACTTAATAAACATAGGTTAAAAGTATCTCTGTAATCTTGGCTACACCCATAGTACTATTCTATTATTATTATATTAGCCTATTACCTTTTTGCTAAATTTTGTTTTAGTTTTTAATCAACCAATATTTACATAACCAACGCTACAGTTGCCAGGTAACCGTTGTCATGACATCGCAAGTTCAGTAGAATTAAAAAGGTAGTGAGCAGTAGTGATAGAACAAACACATTATAAAATATAGTAAGAGTGTATTCAACGTGATAAAAATAGTACTTAAGTTAAAATAAAACTGTTATAATGGTACAAATAACTGTAGAGATGGTCAGAAAAAAAGCTGAACACCACGATGGACTTCTCGCACCGCTTGAAGAGATAGCTCTGCATCAAGAGAACATCGAGAAAATTGAATTCATACAGGACTGGTGCCCCAAACTTAAAATACTCCTACTGCAAAGTAATCTTATTGCAAAAATAGAGAACCTTAATAAACTAAAGCACCTTACTTACCTTAATCTAGCATTAAATAATATTGAGGTTATAGAAAATTTGGAAAGATGTGAGTCATTACAAAAGCTCGATCTAACTTTAAACTTTATAGGTGACATAATTAGTGTAGAAAATCTTATAAATAACTACAACTTAAACAATTTATATCTTGTTGGAAATCCGTGTACCGATTATGACAACTATCGTGATTTCGTAATTGGAACTTTACCGCAACTTGAAAGTTTGGATGGCAAGGATATTGAACGATCTGACAGAATAAAAGCCTTACAAAATCTTAAAATAATCATGTCGGATATTTTATTTGAACAAGAAAACTACAAATATCAACGCATGAAACAGAAATCAAGGTTAGAAAAAAATATTCAATCAAAATGGGAAAATGAATATAAAGATATGGATCCAGATGAACGGAATAAAAAATTTTGGTCTGAGAAATGTGAACATGCCCCTGAAGTTCGATACGAAATAGAAAAGATGCGACAATTAAAATTAAATAGCTATAATACTGAAAAACAAGTAGAAGAAAAAAGGGAATACAAATTATTCGCATCAGATGGCAGACCCTTTAATATAAATCAGCCAAAAATAGCTTTTATGTTTAATGATTCTGAACCTGATAAATACATTCTGGATTTAGCTGTATACAAGTATTTAGATACTAGTTTAGTCGATATCGACGTCCAACCAAATTATGTGCGCGTTATTATCAAGGGTAAAATATTTCAACTCCATCTGCCGGAGGAAGTCAACACTACTAATTCTACAGCACAACGGTCACAGACCACTGGGCGTCTGCTTGTTATAATGCCAAAAGCAAATGCTAACTTCAAAAAACCATCTTTGCTAAAGAGTAGCACTGCAAATTCTCAAAAGTACACCGAACAAAACATAGAGAACTGTGACCTAAAAAGAGGACAATCGAAAAGAGAATTTCTTGAAATAGGTCCAGCAGATAACGTTTTAGACTTTACTAAAATGACTCGAAATATATCTAAACCGAGTTATATTGATTTGAGATTTAAACTACAGTCAAAACAAACTTCTCCCGATTTTGTTGATGATCCTTCAGTTCCTGATCTAATTTAAAACCCAACTCTTATTTCTTAAATTATTTATCATCTATAATTTAATTAATACAAACTTCTTAATCCAAATATTGTTTATTTCCTGATAGAAAGTCAAGTTTCAAATACTTTTCTTCAATAAATATATGGTTATATATGTATTTTATTTTTTAAAATAAGTCAACGTTACTGTCTATTTAACAATATTAATTTAATAAACTTACATTAAAAATATAATATACAACAAAATTTTGTTTAGATCACATGCAGTCATTTAGTTTTACTAAAATCATTTTGTTCTTGGTTGAATAACAGTGAAGATATTTAAAAAATTCTTTTTCACATAACTATATTTTAAGTATATGTTAATTTGGCTCTATCTATAGATGATCATCATCTATAAATAGGATATAAATGCATCTACATTTATTTGCATCTTACACAAAAATAATACAATTTATTGGAAAATTGTTAAAATAATTTTGAATTTTTCCTTAGCATTACTGTGTTACTATCTATTACATACTTTGTATTATCAGTAAACTAATAATACGAAGTTACATTCTCAAACCTGTGGGGTTACTCTTGAAATAAATTCCAATAAATCGATACTGAATTTGAGACGTTCCGCACTCTCGAATAGCGACATAATGGTGCCATATTGATCTGATAGATCTGGAAGAGAACTCTTACAGAGTTAAGTTCGCCTGTTATACATCTTTATTTAATATATATTATATGTTTGTAATTTTATGTACAATAAAGTATAAGTAAATAAATAGATAGATTTATAGTTTTGTCAATCAATCAAAACCGATTCCAATTCTCACCTAATTCCTAATTGTAGTTTCATGAGTACGGTATAAAATTGTCATTGGCAATAGATTGGATTAATATCGATATTGGATTCAAGAGTAGACCTGACCAAAAACTGTTCAAACTACAATAATTATATATTTTTCAAATCGTTGGTTTGAATTCATTTTTACAAAATATATTTCAAATTATTTACAGAAACAAAACTTTTATTCATTTAATAATAGTACCTAATAATATAAGTAGATATATTTTAGTAGTCCTATCTATGGCATTTATATCAATCATAACATAGTAACTGGTTTAATAAATTGTGATCAGTGTTTAAATGTGAATTGAATTAATTTATTATCATTTTCGGTTCAGCCATTCAACTGATCCTTTTACAGTAATAATTACGAGTGTTATCTGCATGATATACCTAACTAGTCTCTGTAGCTTATTTTCTAATATCTAGACATTCTCAATCTTAGGTATACAATACCTATTAGCAAATTTTTTGTCAAACAGAATCCTGTGATAGACTTTACAAATACAAATATTGTAGTATAGACTTCACATAGTTTTTAATGCTGATAGTCACATTATTATTTAAAACCTGCTAAGAAATTTACGTTGTAATACGTATAGCATTGTATAAACTTTACATAAGTTGTTGCTAACAATCACTTTAAATTTCATCCTAAACTGCCAAACAGTTTTTTTAGTTCATACTTAAATAGGATTACCATCGGCAACATCGTTCGTGTATCCATTAGTTTCCGAAGGCATGGAAACGAGGAATGAGAGGAATCCATCGACGTCGTGTAACTCCTTGGAGTCGAACTTGGCGGAGATCTGGTGACGACCCGCCCACGGTGGGGTCAACTTGAACTGCACTGTTGCTACAGCTCCAGGTGCCACATTCTGGAAATAAAAAAGTTTTAGTAAAATTTTAAAATAATAGATATATACATTATCTGATCAGTTAGATAATTTAATAAAATTGGGTAACTACAACATGGAGCAGTTTGTTTCTCTTACGGATAGATGTCACTGTAATTCACCAGAGTCTGATAACTATATCCAACCGTCCCACCATAATCAGTTGAACATTGATATCTCATCCGTCGCGGAACCAGACGTTTCATGTTTACCCACACGAAACAGTACAAAAGTAAATAAATGCAGCACTGTACATGAAACCATCAGGAGAACAATTGTTTATTCAGATGAATTTGGCAAGGATTTAGGTAGTTTATTATCGAACTGCCTCTCGCAACAAGTAATGAATAATTGTTTTCCGGGATCAGGTATATATAAGATTATAAAAAATATAGAAAATGAAAAATATGATATTCACACGACCCTAGTAATAGCGTTAGGGAATTGTTTGCATATGCGTAAATCTGATATAGTTAATTTAATAAAATCATTATATAATATAGTGGAGCTTGGTATAGGTAAAATATTATTATGCGCATTTCCCTACTCTCAATCCCTGACTAATGAACAGAATAAGTTCATTTATAGTATAAATAATTTAATTTATTCGATGACATATCATTGTAATGATATATTTTATTTTGAAAGTAACAAATTTGTTACAAATTATTATATGACGGGAGGTAATTTTTATCTTCCTAAAAAACAAAAAAAGACTATTGCTAGTTTACTAGCGTATAACATTTATGATCCCATTATAAGTAGTATAACGGGTTTAATTAGTAATATTAGTAATTATACTAATAATGTGACATGTGTTAATTTAAACTAACATCTACGACATTGGTTAAGCCACAGGATATGGTCATTATTCATCAAAATATTCGTGGCTTCTCCAGCAAAGAATTAGAATTAAGTCTTTTCTTAGAATCTAACAATGTACGGGTGTTATGTCTGACAGAACATTGGCTTAAACAATATGAAATAATTTGTCCTTTTGAACATTATAATATAGCTAGTTTTTTTGCTAGGAACAATGCCATTCATGGCGGGTCAATTATTATTTTAAAAAATGATGTAGAATATAAAAACCGTCAAGACATTGTAAATATTTCTATTGAGCAAACAATTGAACTATCTTGCGTAGAATTAGTTACTTGTATAATAATTTGCGTTTATCGTCCGCCATCGGCTTGTTTTGATTCTTTTGAACTGGCTATGGAGGAAGCATTGAGACGAGTCGCACGGAGGAATAAAACATTATTTGTATGTGGCGATTTTAATGTTGATTTATTATCGGAATGCTCAATAAGCTTAAGATTGATTAACTTATTTAAATCATTTAATTTGCACAATCTTTTTTTAGAACCCACTAGGGTCGCAGGAAATTCTGCCACTTGTATAGATAATGTTTTTTGTAATTGTGAAGTAAAGGTGAAAATGAATTTCGACTGTCTTGGATCTGATCATTACGGACAAAAAGTTATAATTGAAACTAAGGGATCCAAAGGGACTCAAACAATTACATGCAGACAAATAACACAAAAGAATTTGGCACGTTTTAAAAATAAAATTGAACATAAAATATCTAGTGTCATAGTACCTCAATATGACCCGGACATTGTATGTGAACATATTTTTAATTTAATTGAACATGAAGCTAGCAGTGAATTTAAAACAAAAACATTTTCAACTAGTGTAAAATCAAAGTTTTGTGACTGGGCCACGTTTGGTATTTATAAGTCTAGGGCTAATCTTTACGAACTTTACGAAAAACGAAGCTATATATCCGATCCCTTATTTCATGAACATGTAAAATCTTATTCGAAAATATTTAAAAAGGTTTGTCATACAGCTAAGTCTCTTTATTTAGGTAAAATAATAACTAAATCTAAAGATAAAATAAAAGCCACTTGGAAAGTAATAAATAGCGAAACTGGAAAAGTTAATTTTCAAAATAGCAAAATAGCTTTAAATATTAATAACAAATTGGTAAATTCCGACACAGAGGTCGCGCATACATTCGAATCTTATTTTACTAATATTCCATTAATTACGACACAGGCTCTAAAATCTTCCCCGTCTGCTGCTGAAACTTTACTAACAGACAATGTTAGCAAGTCATCAGCTGTATTTAACTTTAGACATACATCATCAGTAGAAATAATGAAAATATTCAAACAACTTAATAATAAAAAAACAGAGGATCTATGGGGTATATCTGTTAAAATACTGGATAGTATAATGGAAATTATTGCGCCCTCTCTTGCTTTTATTTTCAATAAATGTATAGATGAAGGTAAATTTCCTAACATAATGAAAATTAGTAAAATCATACCGCTTTTTAAATCTGGAGATAGGAGTGACCCAATAAATTATAGACCTATATCCATACTCCCAGCACTCAGTAAAATTTTTGAAAAAATAATCCTTATGCAACTTGTCAGTTATTTCAATTTAAATAATTTAATCCACAATAGTCAATTCGGTTTTTCCAAAGATCGTTCAACTACAGACGCAGGTGCAGAGTTGCTTAGACACGTATTTGCTGCATGGGAAACTAAAATAGATGTGATAGGTGTTTTTTGTGACCTTTCTAAGGCTTTTGATTGCGTTGATCATAATACATTGCTAAAAAAACTTGCTTTTTATGGCGTCAAAGACAATGCTTTAAATTTAATAAAATCTTATCTATCTGATAGAATACAGAAAGTGAAGATTAGCAACGCTACGTCTGACGGGTCACTTGTGCAAATGGGTGTACCTCAAGGATCTATTCTCGGTCCATTTTTATTCCTAGTTTACATTAATGATCTCCCATATGCCATGCAGGATAGATGTGGCATAGTATTGTTTGCAGACGATACTTCATTGATTTTTAAAGTTAATAGAATGACTAATAATTATGACGATGTAAATAGTGCTTTGCGGCGTCTCCTGCACTGGTTTACAACTAACAATCTTATGTTAAACGCTAAAAAAACAAAATGTGTTAATTTCTCTCTATCTAAAAGTTTTAATACTAATTGCAATATTAAATTAAATGACGAATCTCTCGAATTTATAGAATCTACTGTCTTTCTAGGAATCACACTAGATAGTAAAACACAATGGGGTGCACAAATTCAAAGCCTTGCAGCGAAACTAAGTTCAGCAGCTTTTGCCGTGCGTAAAGTTAGACAGTACACTGATACTGATACTGCTAGATTAGTCTATTTTAGTTATTTTCATAGTTTACTCTCTTATGGAATATTACTATGGGGAAAAGCGGCAGATATTAAGAATATATTCATATTACAAAAACGTGCCGTTCGAGCGATCTACTGTATGAAGAGTCGTGACTCATTAAGAGAGAAATTCAAAGAGGCAAATATTCTCACCGTTGCTTCTCAATTTATATATTCAAATATTCTATATGTTCATAAAAATCTTGACTTATTTCCAAAAAACAGCAATATTCATAATATTAATACTAGATTTAAAGACAAACTTGCTGTCCCCAAGTATCGTTTAGAAAAAGTTAATAGGTCTTTTATGGGAATAGGTATAAAAATTTACAATAAGATACCAAAGGATATGTTGGAATTACCCTTAAATAAATTCAAAACATCTGTTAAATCATATTTACTGAGCAAAGCCTATTACTCACTAAACGATTACTTGAATGACGAGTGTGCATGGCAATAGTTGTTCATGCACTGAATTTTCATTTAATGTTAGACATAGACACCTATATAAATATACATTGTAAATAAACTGGCTTTAAAAAAAAAAGTAATTCAATTGAGTTTCTTGCCAGTTCTTCTCAATTGGATCTATATACCGAACTGGACGGTAGGGTAAATATAAAATTATAATGTACAAATTTGACGTTCATAAGCGGCTAAAATGTCCTACATGAATAAATGATTTTTGAATTTGAATTTTGAATTTGAATTAATTTCAAACTTTTTGTCCATATGTTGCATTATGAGATATGATTGTTCTACATAATATGAATCGCATATCAACCTCCGGTGTAATTAAAACTAATCATAAACTAATATATCTAATTGTATAACTACTTATTATAAGAAAAAAATATTAAATGTTTTCCCAATTTTTATAGCCAATGGAGATCGTTTTTGTTGTCTGAAACACCTTTTTCGATACATTTATACGAGGAGTCCTCATATAAATTATAAGTTAATTTAAAGTTGAAAAATGAGTATTTTAAGAGATTTTGCAATTTCCTAACAAGCAATACATACTTCACCTACAAAGTTTTCAGTTTCTGATGATTCATTTTTTTGTGATGCATAAAATATACACTTAGTCTCCCAGATGGTAAACTAAATACTGATAAGTACATTTAGGTAACTATAAATTCATTAATATCTGTAAATTTCTAACTAACTGAGTTCACTGGTAATTGTTGTCCTGGCAAGTGTCCTATATGGAGCAAACCAACGTTCACTGAGTCAATTAGTAAACATAATATTTTTTAACTCTTTCTTTACTTCATACTAGTGTGATAAAAAGGACAACATGAGCTGTGAACCACAGTTTGTTAATAATATAATTAAGATTGTGATCCATAAAAAACTATCCGTTGTCGCAAAATCTGTACTGTACCAATTGAGACCAACAAATTTCTATGAGACCATTCTGTAAGTATATTCTTTCCGATAAAAAAGAATTTCCCAAATCGGTTTACAACTAGGTAACGGAGTTATGAGGTAACAAACAAAAAATACAATCGAATTAAAAACTTCCTTCTTTTTTTTATACGACTTAGAATGGCAAACAAGCTGACGGCCCACCTGATGGAAAATGGTAACCGTCGCCTATAGACATGAGCAGTACCATGGACATAACAGTACACACACATACTGTTTCGCCATTTGTGTTGTGTTGCCATTCTTGAGGACTCAGGTGTTATTCTTTTGTGCCCTGTAAATTCACGACATATTCCACCCTTCAAACCGAAACACAGCCATACAAACGCAACTGCCTTATTTTTAAAATCGGTAGAAAACTTACCTCGTCCAACGGAATCTTAAGCTGTTGATCTAAGCCCGGACCCTGCACGTAGAACTTGCCACTTTTTAGCGGGATAGGCAGCGGGTTCTCGAGTTTAGCGGTGACAGTGAACTCCTGCCTGGAGACCGGCTTTCCTTCAATCACGATCTTGATGTCTGGGTTTCGTACTCGGAAGTCATCTTGTGCAAAGTAATCGTATTTCGCTTCTACTATTGTTGCAATGCATGCGATGTTAAACGATGCCTGTAAAACAAACACAGTATCTGTATTTTAGAACTTATCAGTTAACATATTTTCTGAAATATGATATTTTAATACAAAATAATCAACCAATCATGATACGTAAAAATACTAGTATATCAAACACGAAAATTTTCAGCAAACACAAGGATCCAAGGAGCAATACTACTGCTGTGTAAGACTAGTCTTACAACACGATATCTAAACAACTTTTTAAAATCCTTATCTTGCCTTTTCCATTTATTTAGGGTCGATGCAGTAAGACTTTTTCGTCATTTCCGGGTCACTCCTATTTTATGCATATCATCTTTCACACAATCTACCTTTTCTTTTGCTTCCTTCCTTTATATCCATACACTTTCATACACAACACAACTTTCATTAAAACATGCCGTTCATTTCTGCGCATGTCATAATCATATTAAAATATTTATTTAAAAAAATGGTTTCTACATAACTTATTTCATAATCTTTAAAAAGCCATGGAGTTGTTGCTATAACCATACGCTATAAGCGTGTCTTTCTGAAGATATTTCACTGTTATATCCACACAAAAAATACCCTCTAGACCAATGAATTATAGTTTTCTGATAAGTTACGTTAGCTAGGGATACCTTTTTGCGACATTTACCTGGCGAATCACATAAAAATCTATATGATAGATAAAAATAGTCCAAGATATCCAGAATCATTAGTAAAACAAATACAATGTAAACTATGTCGCAAAAACATACCAATTCACAATAAATTGGTAAATCAATAATAAGTATATTTTAGTCATACCTGATCCACTAATTTTTTATAATAGTCATCAAAAGTGACTAGCATTTTCACTTCTTCCTTAGCTTCCGGAGCGAGTGTGGTATCGAATTCGTAGCGTTTCACCCCATCGCCGGTTACGCCCTTATAAGTTACGGTATCCACTCGGAGTACTCCCTTCACTTGATGCTGGTTTTCAGAAGAACGATTCCTCATATGTAGAACCTGAAAAATAATTGTAACAACTGATGACTTTACGTTTAGATAATACATCAATTCTAAATACTGTACTTGGCTTTTGAGGGAAGTTTCCGCTACCAGACTACGAAATGCTAAAATAAATATACCACCACCAATAAGATTCTCTAAAACTAAATATATTTTTAAAAGAAAGCTTTAAAAGATTTTTAACCGATTAACAAAAAATTAGCATACCTAATAGGTATGTAGCGGAAATATTTAACGCTTGAATGCTTGGATATGATAGAGAGTGACCTCTGACTACCCCTTTTCTAATGTTGTTTGTTATCTATTAATTTAAATTAAAATATTAAATAATAATGATTGTAATGGACTAGCCTAATTAATTTATTTATATATTTATTCATTTTTCGTCAAGAAATTTCGCGGTTAGCTTTTGGAATAAAATATCAGTATTTTGTTTGCTCTTATGACCCCCAGCCGATGCTATTTTATAATAGCACAGGCTCGGCTCGTTAGACGCACGGACAGGAGCTCGTGCAGATGATGGCCCGGCAAAGAGCCCTGGCTCGAGGGCCACCCGTACCTGCATTCCCGTCAGGGATTGTAGGCAACCCGCTACGCTCTTTTGAGGGCAAAGCAATAAACTGAGTTGTGTGATACACTCAAGAAATAAAAAATATGTTATTTTATATGAATTTTTCTTTTTTTCTGTATATATATCTATATCTTTTGTTATTTGGGTACTGTAATATATATATATATATATATATATATATATATATATATATATATATATATATATATATATATATATATATATATATATATATATATATTTACCTACATTAAAATGTTTCCTCGAGATTAGCAAATTATTCGTATCTCTATATGTTATTAGGTAATATATATAGCTTTTCAATAACAATTTTGATCATCATCATAGAATACAGGTGGACACGTTGCTTTATGTAAATGAAGTTCCATATTCAATTCCCGAATGGATCCATTTAGAAAACGAACTTCTCTGAATTAGTTCAAGCCTGGCTGTTCTAAGATCTGTTCATTAACTGATATCTCATAACACAAGGATTTCAGTGTTTGAAATCGGTGTATTTTTTTATTAAAGATGTTATTTAATACAAAAATAACTTACCACATTAAAGTCCTGTCCAATTTTGATGTCATCCCTTAGTTCGAAGTCAAAAATAACATCGTTGAAAGCATCGTTGAGGTAGTACCGCGCGAACAGATGCTCAGATCTACGTAAAGCCTTTTCCATAGTCGCGCGCTCCTCGCGCGTCCTCTCTGGATACTTATATAGATTCGTTATATCCTGCAATTAAGAATAATATAATGTTTTTCATTCATTTTTTATTCTAGAAAATCAATTTAAATAACAAGATATTTAAGATATTAAGTAATAGCTTACTTAATTATTCATCAATTTAAAAAAAATGAGTCTACACTTTTTGTTGAACTGCCATACATACATCTCGTCAAACACGGCTTTTAATCATATTGTATTTAATTCGATTGAATTTAATTAATTCAACATGCGTGAATTTTATAACATTTGAAAACTGATAAAATAAACAAAATATATTGATAACATACCTCCCTGTCCATACTTCCAATGGCTTTAGTTGATATAAATTGACCAATTGTAACTGTGTCGCGTTTAAGCAATTTCAATGGCTGTATTTCTCCGGAGTATTTCCATAATACCTGAAATTAAACAATTATGCTCGGTTTTAATTTAAATAAGAAATACAACTATGTTAGATATTTTTTTATTATAGTATCAGATACAAAATATTATTTAATTGTATATTATTGTGTTTGTATATCTAATAATTCATATCAAGTGCAAAATTAAACCCGTGTCTAAATGTTTCGAAATACGTCTTTCTGTGGCCAGATATTAAACTACTAATTTTAAAGTTATAAATATAATTTTCAATATTTTACTAACAAAATGAGTCTTGTTATGTGATATTAAATAAATTTGAATCAACAGAGAAATGTACTAGAATAAAGATTGGATATATCCGTGGCTCTGATTTATTTAATAAAATAGAATATAATTAGCATATTATTGCAATCAATGCTAGTTTTTAATCGAATATTTTCAAATAATGTGCATACTTTTAATTTAATAATTTCAGAACTCTAATTACACAAAGTACCTATAAAAGTATTAATACTCATAGTTGAAAATAAAAATGAAAATAAAAAGTCCGAGAAGAGTATGTTCGTAGAGTTAAATTTTAAATAGACTGATGATAAATAATGACAATATTCATGTATCAGTAATACAATGAGTCATCAATAAATAAGAGATATCATAATAATGATAATGAACCTTATCAGCGTTGACCTCCGCGAACACGTAGAGAGCATCGTACGCCCTCTGCACCTCACCGTTGCGTACCGCCTGAAGAGACGCAGGCCCACATCGGTACAAGTCCTCAGAAGTCTCCTGAGGTGTTGCATCCACAGCTTGCCAGCCACTGTACTCGGATCCAAGGTCGGGACGGTCCATCCATACCTTAACAAGAAAAGCAAAACATTTTGTTCATTAAGGCCTTATGAGCAGCTAGTAATCCCATGAAAAGTTAAAGCTAAAACCTGATGAATTCTTGAAGTTCAGCAACATTCCCCTAAACCAAATTCCGAAACCGATATATCAAATTTTTTTAATTGAGATCATGTAATCGATTTGGTATGAATAAAAAAAAAAAACAAATGAAAAATGAAAGTGTCGATTTGTACTTATTTTATAAACAGATATGGTTTAGGAGAATGATGATACGAAAACTAATAATCTAGTTTTTTTAATATTACATATTATGCTAGCTGATAAATTGGTATAAATTTAGTCATCTTTATTTTTATAACTTAGCTTTCATAAGAACATTATTATCAACGTTATTAGGTATGTTTATTATTACATTTTTGATACCTACCATTAGTCCTTTTTTTAACAAAATATTGATAAATATTATCAGTTCATTGGAAAGCAATACGTATGTATAAATCCTAATAATATCATTATCATCATCATAATAGGTATATGATACACCGATTCATATAAACTGAACAGCTAAATTGTGTAGTGAATCTTTAAAAAGATATTTTAGAATTATGTAAAACCTACATAATTTTTTTAAAGAAAAGAAACCTTACTCAGTGATAGATTGAGTTTTACATACATATTTAATAAAACTATATTAAACTGAAAAGATAATTTTGTGTATTACACTTGTTTGCACACATTTAATACACAATAAGTCAATAAATTATTGCAATAAATGCTATGCGTCTTAAAATACAGTACGAATGATTACTGCTACATTATGGAATGTCTAAATTTACGCTGCGGTTACTATTGTTGATCGATGTTCTTACACTTTAGTAAGAACTAGTCACCTTAAATAACACTCTATGTAACTATTCTTAGTGACTTGATCCACATCTGAGTTATTCTTAGTGAATCACGAATGGAATTCACATTTGCATTTTAATAGTATAAGCTATTTTATATAATATAAGATTACTATGTACTTGTTATTGTAAGTTATCACACTATCGCATTTGACTTGCTGCGAATGGTGATCTTTCAATTAAAAAAATAAAGACCTTCTCCAATAATGAGATAAAAAGTGAGTGGCCATAATACTCGTAATTAAATATTAAATAAACATATAATAATTGACATAAACGTGGTTTAAATTATTTTGACATTTACAAACAACTAACAACTGTATTAGAAAAAGCCGGGAGCGACTACACGATTCTTGGGCACCAGCAACAGGATTCAAGGGGGTGTATTTGTACTATTGAGAAAAAAATATATATAGAAGAGATTAAGACGTTTTTACTCGTATTAATTGACTTTTTGCATAAAAAATCGAAAGAGTCCATATTGCTAACCAATTTTTTCGAAAAAACATACATTACTGTATATTATAATTTATATTTTATTAGTTAGTAGTACAGCATGTAGATACAGATAGACGTCCCTGAAAGTAATCTTGGCACACGGGAAAAATGGCACCTATTTTTATATACAATATTGCTGTTTGTTGTATTTCAAATTTCGAAGTATTAATTTTTATTGAAAGCCCCGCCACAATAAAAAAGTTAGAAGACTATTTTTTCAGGGGCTCATATTAAGTATATTTAATAAATAATGACACCTAGTAAAAATTATTTGACACTGTTTGATTGAGTCCTAAATTTGTTTGAGAAGAGTAGAACTTACCTCATTCCAGACATGATAATTCCAAACTGAATCTCTCGTAAAGTCTTCCATTGTATTTCCATCTTCATCCATGATTATATCTATGGTTAGACTGCCTTGACTGTCATGTGCTACATCATAGCCACTCACTGGTCTGCATGGGATACCTAAGGCTCTGCAAACTAATAAAAATTCATTATTATTGAATTTATAGTAATACTTGATTAGTCAATGTGTGCTAACTATAACCTTCGGTATATTAATTTATTAGAAACGGGAAAAAAACCTTGTGCATATTGTAGGCTTTTCTACCGACTTTTTCGATGTAAATATTACATCAAAATTCAGAAAGAAATATAATCACTTAAACTCTTTTCAATTTCAGGCAAAATGTTATGTAGAATATACAGAATATGCAGAATATATATATATATATATATATATATATATATATATATATATATATATATATATATATATATATATATATATATATATATATATATATATATATATATATATATATATATATATATACATGCTATATCTATCTATGTGTAAAATCATTCCGCAATTTAAAATTTTGACCATATTCTTTTGATCATTAATCTCGAGTCCTATTACTACTTGGAAGTACTGACCAATGATGTCATGGATAGAGTGAATGATGCTGTATCGACATTTACGTTGTCTTAATTATACATATATTTACGTACCTACACTCCTTTTAAAAGGTAAATTAATTTGCATAATTAATGTTGCTTATAAACAAAACGGTGACATAACGTAACTAAAAATGGCAATGCCGTAAAATCTAATATTATTTTTGAAATAGTAACAAATTTTGAAATTACCTTAAATAATAATTATACATTTTAAATTTGAAAAGCAATATGACGACAACATTAAGTAATTTAGTAATTACCACATGAGTAAATTCTTCTCTAATTAATATATATCTACCATGAGGCAACACTATTCATGTCTATAGGCGCCGGTTACCACCATGCATTAGGTAGGACATCAGCTTGTTTGCACTTTTAAATTACATAAAAAAATCCTTCATCATTGCAGTATATCGCCACGGTATTTTCTAATTTCTATAATTTATTGTGTACATTTATCTCGCAGTACCTACTAAAAATGTTTTATGTTTTCGGATGCAACCCACGCAGTTCAAGAATATTTTATTTCTCACTAATGTATATCTGTTTTTATGATACTTAGAATAGCATTATTATTTTTTCTTCGACTAGCAACACCAACGACAGTTGTCATTTTCAGCTGGCCGTAATAAATAAATAATTTTTAATAGTCTATCACACGAATATTATATTTTCGACATCGTTATTAGTGATATAATAGTGCAATAAGTGTCGATTGTTGTTTGTGTACAATTTGGTAGTGTATTATTTGCAAAAATCGACATTAAAATAGTGCACCGGCCATCTGTCAAACTTCTTTCGTTGGTAAACAACTAATTTTAAAACTATTTTATAACTATTTGTTGGACTTATTCAAAGAATTTCATAATATATACAAGTTTTATAGAAAATATTCACATCAAGTTAAATTGATATTAATAATTGTGAAGTTCAGTTGTTGCGTACGTCGAAGGAAAAAATATACCCACAAAATATATTGTAAGTAATTTTATGTTTTATATTAATGTAATTTGAAGGAAAGGAGCACAATCTAATTCCATTTACTTAATCTTGTAAAATATAGGTCGTATAAATATACCTAACAAAAATTATTCAAAATTTTAACACATAAAATAAGTAAGGTTCAGTTGCTGTTCTCGTTGTGATACTTTTTTTAGAAATAACTCACTTCACTCTCCCTAGTAACTATTCATATATTCAATAATGTCACTATCTACCCGTTCCACAACTGCACGGCAGACAGAGATGAAGCTTAAAGTGGCCCTACAAGAACTTCAGGCATCCAAAGATCTCAGTGACAAGTTGATCAGGGAGAGAGAAGAGAGTGAAGATGAAATTTTAAAAATTATAAATAAAAATACCCAATTAAAATCAGAATTGTCAGAACTTCATAATAGCCATCAGGAAGTTATTGAGCAGCGGGATCAGCTTCAAGAACTAATAAGTAGCTTTCATCAATGTAGTGACACTCATGAGCAAGCCTTGAGGCGTATCACTGAATTGGAACTTGAGTTAAAGCAGGCATATTCTAAAATCAATGATCTAGACACAAGATTGGAATCTCGACAAAGTAATGAGATTAGTAATTTATATGAGGAACTTATTAGTGTTGACTGTGTGCCTCCTTCTACTACAGTTCCATGCACCCATCCTGTTGTAATTGACCTTACTAGTGATACATCACCTAAATTAGGCAACTATAACAGTAATATTTGTATGTTGAGTAATAATAAATTTAAAAAATATTTAAAACTAAAAAAGTTTATAATTAAGAATCGGAATATATTAAATAAGCGTTGCAAAAAGGGACAATTATTGAAAAAAACCACTTTGAATAATTTAAAATTGCATAATTACATTAATAAGTGTAATAATAAGTTAGTGGAAAGCCAAAAGTTATATGACATTGATACAGACTACCTAACTTCAAAAATCAATAGTTTAGAATCTTCGCTTCATGATTTAAATACAAAGTATATTATCTCTCAGAAACAAATCCAGGAGCATATTTTAGCAATGGATGATCTGATTGATGTCAGTAAATACAATGCTGACCGTTTTGAGTCGTTGACTAAGCATTGTACATGTAATCACACAAATATATCAAATAATAATTCAGTTGTAACTGTGCTGGAAAATGAAGTTCAGGGTGTTTGTGCCAGTGACTGTAACCCTAAGAGTAGCACAATGGTGTTCTCTGACAGAATAGGCTGTAACTTTGGGTCTATATTGAAGTATCATCTTAAGGGTGATTTATTACACTACTGCATGCCAGAAGCATCATTTACACAAATAATAAATAAAATTAAGTCTACGAAAATGAACAATATGACCACAATTGTGTTATTTTTTGGTAATAGTATTCAATTAAATAGGCAGGATGTAATTAAAGGAATTGAATATTTATTACAATTAAATGTGTATAAGATTGTATTGTGCGCTTTTCCTTACACAAATAGACATCTTCATAAAAAAATTAACAGTAAGGTACATTACCTGAATAACTTATTACATACATTGACATGTCGTCATAGTGACATTTTGACATTTTTTGATACTAATAGTTTTATTAGTGATTTTTATTTGACAAAAGATACAATGTATCTTTCTAAATCATCTAAAAATAAAATAGCCACTTTAGTGGCTTATAATATTGACTACATGAACAGTTTACATGGTAAACTTAAACATAAAAATGCTGACATAACAGATAATTCTATTAATATTTGTGACATAAGTACTATGACTGCAGATTTAAACTGCTCACAAAGACAAAGGGAAAGCAATCAGAATTAATAATTGTTCATCAGAACATACAAAGTTTTCCCGGCAGCGAGTTAATTATACAATTATTTTTAGAAAAGTATAATATTGATATTGTCTGTTTCACAGAACATTGGCTTAAAGAAAGCAATATGATGTTCAATTTAAATAATTATAACGTTGTCAGCTGCTTCAATAGAAAGTCAGTTAACAGAGGCGGGTCTATGATAATTGCAAGAAATAATATTAAAGTAAAGGAACGTGCTGACATTGTTAGACTTTCTATTGAGTGTTGTATAGAATTATCTTGTATAGAACTAGAAAATTATATCCTTATATGTGTGTACAGGCCTCCTAATAGTGATTACAATGTTTTTGAAGGGGTGATGGAGGATATTTTAAAAAAAGTATTTAATAGTATTAAAAAAATTATTGTATGTGGAGATTTTAACGTTGATATTCTTTGTAACACACCCACATGTACAAAAATTATTAGTTTATTTCAGTCATTTGATTTATGTCATGTCTTTCATGAACCCACTCGTGTAACTGCCACGTCTGCTACTTGTCTTGACAATGTTTTTTGTAACTGCGAGTATACAGAAAAATTCATAATAAATAAACTTCCTTCAGATCACTGTGGTCAAGTTGTTAAGTTTAGCAGTCAAATCAATAAAGTCAACAATAATAAAAAATCAAAAAGACAAATAAACGTTTACAATATTAATAAATACAAAAGCGCGATTAAAAATAAATTGGATTTGCTGTTACAATCTAGTAATAATCCTGATTATCTTTACACCAAGCTAATTAATATTTTATCCGGAGAATATGAACAATTTTTCAAGAAAAAAGAAGTTCATGTTAAATCTAAATTCACGGAATGGGCAACAGTAGGAATACTTAAAAGTAGAAATATTTTGTTTGATTTATACGATCAAAAAAAATATCGATTTGATGACAAATTCACCACTTATGTAAAAAATTATTCTAAAATTTTTAAAAAAGTTTGTATTATGGCTAAGTCTAATTATTTTAATAAACAAATTAAGCAGTCTTCTGACAAAATTAAAACCATCTGGAGCATTATAAATAAAGAAACTGGAAGATCTAAAATAGCCTGTAATCAATTTACATTAAATTATGATAATAAATTAATAACAACAACAAAAGATGTAGTTAATATTTTTGAAGATTTTTTTGCTAATATTCCGATTGATATTACATCTTCTCTGGACTCATCTCAATCTCGAGCAAAAAAATTACTAGAGACTAATATCGGTTGTTGTTCTTTAAGATTTAAATTTTCACATGTTAGCCCCTTTCATATCATAAAAATATTCAAACAGCTAAATTTAAAAAATACGGAAGACCTTTGGGGCATGTCTGTAAAAGTAGTTAGTTCTTTCATAGATATTGTTGCTCCATATCTAGCCACTATTTTTAATAAATGTATTGATAATGGCGTTTTTCCACATTTAATGAAATTTAGCAAATTAATCCCACTATTTAAATCAGGAGATAAATTTGAGCCAGGGAACTATAGACCTATATCTATTTTGCCAGTTCTAAGTAAGGTGTTTGAAAAGATAATGTTAAATCAAATGTTACATCACTTCAGGGTTAACGGACTGCTTCACAGTCAGCAATATGGTTTCACCGCCGGCAAGTCTACCACTGACGCAGGTGTTGCGCTAATGACACATATTTTCGAATCTTGGGAGAGGTCACAGGATGCACTCGGAGTTTTTTGTGACCTATCAAAGGCATTTGATTGTGTGGATCATAAAACGCTTTTGTACAAGCTCGAACATTATGGTATAAGAGATAATGATCTAAAATTAATGAGAACTTATTTAGAGGATAGGGTTCAAACTGTAGATATTGACGGTGTAAAATCTAAGGGAGCTAATATTAAGATGGGCGTTCCACAAGGGTCAATCTTAGGCCCCTTTCTCTTTTTAATCTACATAAATGACCTTCCCTTTATGGTAGAGAAAATTGCAGATATAGTGCTGTTTGCGGATGATACTTCGTTAGTGTTTAAAATTGGACGTCAAAGTAATCAATTAGACGATGTAAATTGTGCTATGTCTGCAATATTAAATTGGTTTACATGTAATAACCTATTATTAAATTCCAGCAAAACAAAGTGTATAAAATTTACACTTCCTAATGTAAGACTAATAAATACACAGTTATTGCTTAATGACGAAATAGTAAATTTTGTTAATGATACAGTTTTTTTAGGTATAACAGTGGACTCGAAATTACAATGGGGGCCCCATATTTCAAAATTGGCCAGTAGACTCAGTTCTGCTGCATATGCAATTAGAAGAATTAGGCAATTAACAGACGTGGCGACGGCTAAACTTGTATATTTTAGTTATTTCCATAGCATAATGTCTTATGGCATACTGCTGTGGGGTAAAGCAGCCGATATAAATACTATATTTGTTTTACAAAAGAGAGCCATACGTTCTATTTATGGTATGGGTTCGAGAGAGTCATTACGTCAGTGCTTTAAAGACTCAAATATCCTCACAGTTACTTCACAATACATTTATGAAAATATTATGTATACACGGAAGAACTTAGCGAGTTTTAAAAAACTCAAAGACTGTACAAGTAGAAACTTACGCAATATAAATAAGCTTATTTTACCTAAATGCCGTCTGCACAAAATCAGTAATTCATTCTATGGTAATTGCATAAGATTTTATAATAAACTGCCGGAATCTGCATTAAATCTGACAGAGAGGCAATTCAAATCTTATATTAAACAATTTTTATGTAAGAAAGCCTATTACAGGATAGACGAATTCATAGATGACAACATATCAAGTAAATAATTAGTTTATTAGCATACAACGTTATAATTTTATTTTCTCATTGCTTTCTTGATTTAATTGATTAATTTTAGAAATATGAAAGCGTAGCGGTTTTTTGTATTAATTGCCGCATGCATTCTTATGTAAAATGTGAATACTATAACTATCAGATGGCAATTGTGAGTAGCTTTGACGTGGTCTAGTGTTTTGAGTAGTCATGCTCACTAAAATGTCCAGACTTGTGGCGGCGTGGTGGGCCGGGTCATTATCCCTAAAATATGGTCGAGCGCAGTGATGGCTGGCTCATCCGTCATACTCGTGAACGGGTGCTGCTTGTAGGGACTGGTCTGCTCTAATCACTATGACTGATTTCCTCTTATTAATTGTTTAACCAGTTGGTTATGTATTCAATTTTTTTTTCTTTTTGAGTATTTAATTGAATTAGTGCTAATTGGTGGTTTGTATTCACACAATTAAACTTAAAAATGTAAAATAATAATAAAATTATTTAAAAGAGCATCACGCAAGTTTCTTGCTCGTTCTTCTTGTGATGAGACAGCTTTCCGAACGAGCGGTAAATTAAAAAAAAAATGTAATGACTTTTCAAAAGTGCTTCAATGTAAGTTTATTTGAATAAATGATTTCTATTCTATTCTATTCTATTCTATTATTTTTTATACCAATCATTAACTGTTGACTGCTGAACATAGGTCTTTCCTATAAGGGAAATATTGCCAGTAGTTTCCAGGTTTAGTAAGTGGATTGGCAACCGCATTTAGACTTTTGGTGACATTTTAAGAGGGATACTGCTGAATGGCATTATTCTGATTAAATATTATTATATTACTATTCAAATTATATCTAAAAAAAAAATATACATTCGAAAACCATATAAAAGATAATTTCAAGATTTACAATAACATTAAACTTACCAGTGGTCAGAACCCCTGCGTAAACCCAACATTGGGCATACTTCACAGGCTTCTTCTTCTCGTAGTACTTCTGCAATATCATCAATGAACCGACCCATTTCAATGGGCTCGTACCTCCACCAAAGTCACTACTCCAGTTTCCAAGCAGAACTCCATTATCATCTTGTACATTTATAGCTGCTGATAAGGCCCGAACTATTTTAATGGGATCGCTTCTTGCGCGCCCTTTTACCTGATTTAAAATATTAAAATTATTAAAATTGAAATAAAGTTTTAAAATAAAATAATAGGAAAAATCTAATATTTAAATATATTATAATGAAGAAATTGCCAATCTTCTAATAACTTACTTTTCCGACATCCCTGACTAGATATAAAGCGCAATCCAGAATATCCTTCTCGTATTGTGCATAGTTCCACGGCGTGGGTTTTATACGATTATATACGCCTCTATACATTAGTCCACCATCTTCCTGAACATATTCTTCTCGATGACTATGGCCTATAACAAAATATTTTTTATTATTAACCGTAATAACAACTTGACCACAATCTTATAAAAAACATGACCTTATGAGTCTCATGATGAATCATCCTAATGTGACATAATGATATCCGTGATATGTTTTAACATTTTTTATCTGCTGGGTCATGAGCTCATTTACCCTCCCAGTACCTAACAAAAAAAAAACTCTAGTCACCTGGCATATATACGCTGTCATTCAAACACCATGGATTAAAGAGTATGTAAATAGGTTGAGGGTGTGTGTAACTTAATGAACCGCCTCCACTGATTTTTGTGTCGATATCAATTCGCCATGCAGCGACAATGCAATCAGCTGCTGCGGTCACTGCCACCATCAAATGAGAATCCATTTGACCTTCGTAGACCACATTCCACCCTCCAACAATTTCAGATCCTTTTTCCAGCAAAGGAACTGCCGCTGATGAGTCATCGGACGGTCCTCGCTTTACCACATCTGTAAAAAACAAAACCTTCTTAAACTTAACCCAAAAATTATTTAATTCAATATACCAACTGACCGACTTCTATTTTTACCTGCAACGTAAAATATAAAGGAAAGAGCATCTTTGTTAGCGTCATATGGTCTGTTTAACAGCAGATCCAATTTGAACGCTTGACCTCGTCGAATGACTAGACACCTGTCGACATTCCTTGTCATCAGGTTAAATTTACTTGTATGATGATCCTCGCCATTAGTTTCGATGCAAAAATCGATGCCTTGAACAGCGAGCACGCCTTGTTTGGTTCCATAGTCAACATCTGAATAAACAAAGGAGACAGTTATCGTTTAATTAGAAGAATAGTATACAGCTACTTAATACATTATGCAATATTACTGGATATGCTTACATACGTGTTAGGCAGTTTTTTAGATCTAGATATAGATGCTCTTTAATTCCCTTTTACGTATATCATTGCGTTTTGTAAGTTATACATATATTTGTATACGTGTATGTGTGTAACAATGATTATACCATAACTATCTTTTATAATAAATAAATTCCATTGGACATATTACACAGAGCCTTCTAATCACAAACTAATCAAATATTTTACTATGGGTATTAGACAACTAATAGTCAGGCTTAGATAATTTTTTTTTTGTTTATAAATACATAAAAAAACACCTAAACCAATACAAACAGTCATACTCATAAATACAAATATTTGTATTGTGCGGGAATCGAACCCGCAATATTAAATTTATTCACTCACATTGGAATAACATTAGTCATCGCTTAAACTAAAATGAAAGTGATGCGAGTACCTATTTGGATGCGGGCCAAAATGTCAATCTTCGAAAATAACAATTGTTTTCATCCTAGATTTTTATTGATCTGCATTTATTTTTATTATTACAATAAATTGTTATTATATTAAATTTTTTTTTTATTACATACAGATAGTAATATTTATAATAAAATATACACAACTAAATAATGGGAACTAAGAGTGGCCTGTGCTCAAATACATATATTGCTATGGTATGGTAAAATAATCATAAACAGTATTTTTTAAAATATGTATGGTATATCCAGGAACATTTATTCAACAAGTTAAAGTAACAAAGAATGTGTATCAAATTGTCTATTATAATGCATTACCTGGTTGAAATGGCACTATAATATATTTCTGGCGTCTCCCGAAAAAATGCCTCCATAAACTTTTAACATATTCCATGGCTACAAACTTAATTTTTGTTCACCAACTCTCACTAAATTTCATTAAAAAAAATCCACCAAATGACTATTCATTGTCTCACTAACATTTTATAATATAGGTCGATATTCGAGTCAGATTGTAATACGCTAATTGATTTATCAAACGTTTCGAAGGCGTGTGGTACTTTTTACATACCGCCGAGAACTGTGGACTCCAGCCATGGTAAACTGTCTGCACTACCACCAACACAATAATGATGTCATAGAGTCAACAAGATTTGAAAAGCTTCTCCCGTTACTAGGAAATAGAATCTATCATTGAAGAAACCAAGGTTACTCTACATTAGTCATGTCATAGTCAATAGTCTCAAAGCATGCCCAAAGATGTTAATCATTGAAAATATAACATTATGTCATGAACTGGTACATATCTTACATATCTGTCACCGTTTACTTCTGTGAATGAATGGCGTTAATAAAAACGTTATAACTGAATAGATACATAAATCATACTCGTATAATGACATTGAATATTGTATATTGTATTAATGATGAAGAAAAACATACGTCTACATTATATTTTTTTAAATAGGTATCATTGTATATTCGATTGATTTTCTGGAATCAAAGCTAATGTAACGGATGACACGATGGGATGTTATGAATACATAAAACTAATCGACTAACGTAACAACTTAGAATTTTTGAATAAATATTTCTTAAATATACCTATATATAAATATATACATATTTTTTTTTATTCTCACGGGAACAGGAGATCACTTCTCTCTCCTTCTTTACTTGTGTTACATGTATAGATAATAATCCCCAATCCAATAGCTGGTCTTTGTGATCAGACTACAATTCTGCCAAGACAATTATTATCTACTTTTAAACTCGACGTGTTTTCTGTGAGTCAGAAAAACTGTTATAATTACTCTGAATAACAAAATAGTTTATAACTCTAGGTCTGACTGTCACCTGACTCTCACAAATCTTTTGTAAGAGTAATTTCAAGAATAAACATGTATCTCAATGACCTACACTTAGAAACGTAATGCTATCGATCTATTCAACAAGAAGCCCATACTATTGAGACAGTTTTAATGAACAGTAGGTATCGATGTAGAAAATATTTCTTCACTAAATTAATTGTACTGTCTTCGCTTACATGCTACATGCTCGAATTCGATCATTTGATCAATCATGGTCCTTCATTCATTTATTAATGACATTCTGACCTCTGCTTGTTAATTGGTGGGTCAATTGATGTTCTTCTTTATAATTGAGAACACTTCTAAAGATGAATATAAAATTCCATCAAGCATCAACAATCAAAATATAATCAATTAATATTGTTATTAATTGAGCCTCTTTTAAATCTTCTACATTTCTAAGTTACAATAATATCTAAATCTTAAAATTCTTTTTTTAAATCGATACAGTATTTCATACAATATTATGCGCCATATTTAGTATTAATTATATGTGTGGGAGACAAGTTAACTATACCGGTATATACCTATATATTGCCTTGAAATAATAAGCATTTAATAGATTTTTCCCACACAGTCCTGCAGTCGTCATCCGCGTAGGTTTCACCTTCATAAATGGTTATCTTAGCAAGCATCTTTGTTTTGTACATTCTTATGACAGACTTGATGTAAGTGCGGGTCGGTATAGTCGAATCCTAGCTGTCTAATACTATAATAACTTTGTGCTAAAACTGTAAAATTAAATTTATTGTACATATAAAAATTTATTGAGAAAATATTAAACAAAAGAGAGATATCTATAACTATAACACAAAGAGTAAAGAACTTCTTATACCACGTAAAAGTCTAGCAAAACCCGCAATATAGGGAAAACCGTTGAAGATAATAATGTACAATGGATTATCAAAAGAAACAACTCAAATGCTACTATAAAATTTAAATGAACTATAAAGATTTTTTTTTAATAATCCATTTTATCATATTAATGAATATATTATAAAGCCAACATTATTTAATCTTTAGTTGTCAGTATATATTGTACCTATATCTATTTATTAAAACAAAATTATGTAAATGATGAACTAAATGTAACCTGTTTTAATGGCATATAAAATATCTGTATCTGAATGTTGTCTATAATTGACGGAAATGGTACAATTCAACAATTAATAAGGTCCATAAATGGAAAATTCGTGGTTATTTTATTTAAGACAGATTTAGTCGACGTAAACCTGTTATCACTTATACTTACATTTGAAAAACTCTGATGAAATACTGTCAATAATTTATGTGTATTTGAAATAATTTTTGAATAACCTCAATTTTGTACCGTGTCTGATGTGATCTGTGTATTTTAACCGACTTTGAAAAGAAGAAGGTTCTTAATTGAATTTTTTATGTTTGTTACCTCATATTTCTGAAAGGCTATATTAACAGATCGGTCCCATAGTATTTTTTTTTAATTAATTTAATAGTTTAATTTTTAAATAAAAGTAACTGATTTTGTCACAATTAAAGTCGTATCTTTTTTTTGTAGATTTTAATTATATAGATCTTTTTGCTAGGAACGATAAATACAATAAAATTACCTATCAGTCCTTCTGAAACTTATAAATACGCGATTTTATGTTTTTATAATGAAAAATAATAATATATCGGTGTTTTCCTAAATGTTCTCGAAATATCTCCACTATCAAAATATTTTACTATTTGGTATTTAGAACAGCAATAATAGATATTTATTTTTAATTTGATAGCTTTCACAATATTCTAACAGGTGCCAGATGTGCGGTTTTACCAGCTGGAACACAAAATAGAAGATCAATGCAAGTATTCTTGTTTTATAATCAATAAAGATTCTATTATTTATTTATTTAGGAGGTATTCATGTCAAAAAATATCAAATGAATATTATCTAAATAATAACGTGCGTTCGAGGACGTAATGAGAAATATTCTTTTTAAAATGTCATAATAAATAATTAAGCAAATTTGATACATGGGTAAGTTAGAGTATAACTTAATAAAATTCTTTATATAGAAATGTACATACGCGGACAAAATCGCAGAAAACAATTAGCTATCAATAATCGTCAAAATAAACCACAATAATATAATACACGAGTAAAAGGAAAGACTCAAAATGAAATGGGAAAACCTAGCGCCACATTCAATATCTCTTTTTCATTCAATTCTCTCCCTCTTATCCAATCATGTGTCGCTACTAGAGAATCTGTCTTCTCAACTTGTTTGTACTTGTTAATAATTAATTGTAATTAACCATTGCCTATTAAAAATATAGACAAAGAGATATTATTGAATTATAACAGTTTCATTTCAGCAATTTGGGACCCTAAAAACCTTCATATTTAAAATATTAATATAAACCTAAATATCAAGGTTTTTGTCTGAATACAATAACTAAGTTACATGTCTAGGTACTCAGTAAATACAAGACGTAAGTTCCGTTTTTACATAACCAAAAAAAAAAACTCAATGGAGCTTTGTTTATCAGCTTTAGTTGTCGACGACGCGCGCCGGTTGTTTCTCGTTAACCTTGGACACAGAATCAAGACAATATAAATACAAACAGCCTTCTTCTACTTTATTAAACATACCTTAAATTCCTTATAAATATCGCTACATACTTGGATGTATTATATTCCGCTTTCCAGACAATTTTCATGCCAAAACTCATTTTTTTTTTCTAGCAAAAATGTTACGAGATCGAATATTAAAATAAAGTATTTCGACTAGGTACGTTCCTTGAGAAAAGTATTGTGAACTTCGGTTTAGTACTCATGTTAGAACTAACCGTTTATGATAAGTAGATATCTACATAATGTACATAGGTTTATTCAATTTGCATATGTATATATTTATGTTTGTGTATATTTATTTAGTTTAGTCATCCTCACTAATATTTTAAATGTAAAAGTGAATTTGTTTCTTTGTTACCTTGGTGTACACGTACTAATATATGTACGTAATTTATGAGATGGAAAAGGATTATTTTTTATTACGATCAATGAACATATCCTTTTACGTAGACGAAGACACGGGTAAATGCTAGTATTATTGCATAAATAATATTAAGTGTAGTATGGTTTTTATTTAGATATATTTTTTCTGTATTTACTATGCACTTACCCACTACTTTATACCAGAGGGCCTACCATGAAATGTTTTCCGAAATTTCGGGGCCAAAGGAAACACAAATTTAATAAAAAAAATTATTTAATACATATCGTTTTAAATTTAAAAAATATTAAAATATCGTTTCTTTGTACTGTTATGGTAGGATTTATAACGAACTAAACGTTAAGCTCCATTTATTGGACCAATTTCGGTATGAACGCAAATACGAAATTGAGTCTGAAAATTCTGAATTTCATTTCATGGGGTACCATATTAGGATGCTAGGTTCTCTGTAATAAAATGCTTTCAACAATAAGGCTGCCTTTTATATGTATTTGCACATTCTGTATACGTCTATTTTATATTCTTTATATACGTCTTGTTTATACACAATAAAAAGTTTATCACTACATAGTATAAAACAAAGTCAGACTTTATACAAAAGTCGATTGCTTGGGTACCTCTGTCCCATTCGTGTTTCAACCGTGAAGCAGTTGTGTTTGTATGGCTGTGTTTCAGTTTGAAGGGTGGAATATGGCGTGAATTTACTAAGTACAGAGGAATAACACCTGAGTCCTCAGGAATGGCAACGCATGGGGGTATCATGGGCGAAACAGTATACTCTGTTGTGTCCATGGTACTGCTCATGTCTATAGGCGACGGTTACTACTTTCCATTAGGTGGGCCGTCAGCTTGTTTGCCATTCTAAGTTGCATAAAAAATCGCTTCCCGTCTGTCTGTGCATATGTATGCTTAGACATTTAAAACTACGCAACGGATTTTGATGCGGTTTTTTTAATAGATAAAGGAAGCCTTATATGTATAATACATGCATAATATTTATTTTATATATATAGGTTTCTAATGTAATGTGATGTAACGTGCACCCGTGTGAAGCCAGTGCGGGTCGCTAGTAATTATTAAAACAAAATTTACATCTTCCCTCTTAAGGAGGAGAGATGGCGAACTAACAACCGGCTGAGGCTATTATCCTTATGCATACTAATTGACCGACAATGCGTAATGCGTTACATTGTGTAAGTTTCTAGGGAAATAAATTTGCTAATGAATGAATAATTAACTCGCACCTATCTAATACATAAAAAAATAATAAATATTCCTCCTTCCTTACCCATGAGTGTCGTAACCCACCTGCCAGACGTGACAACTACGGGCAAAACCCCTTCGGGGGATAAACCTCCGTTTATATTCAGCAGTGGACAGTTAAAGGCTGATATGATAATAAATTTTAAATACCACATGCAGTCATTAGGTATTATGGTTTCATTCTCAATTTAAATGTTTTAATATTTTTTAGAAATCAAACCTGTAACGTTTATCGCGTTTTAAAGATTAAGTACGTAAATTTTAATTATAAAAAAAATATATATTTACAACGATCCCATGTATTACCTTATTATCCCTCCCTCGACAGACAGAACCAACAACCATCTCTACCTTTACATCTCTTGCTCCATCCACTTTCATAATTCTTCTAATGATTGTATTATGTTTTGTTATGATTTTAAATCATGTTCACATAGACTAGACACGTAAAATTACGTTTAGGTATGTAAAAAATAATTGGGTAAAAATTAAAATCTATATCTACACTCCTTCAATAATTTTGGCTATGTCAGTATCTACCAATAAATAATCAATCAGTCCTTTTCAAACAAACTTAAAATATAATTTACGAATATTAAAATTTTTAACAGAGTTTTTAAAATAACGTTACCATCCAAAAATTACTGTATTTATTATATAAAAATCTAATAACTTAATTTCAATATTTCACTGTATATCTAATGAAGTGCCTACAGATATAGCAGTAACTAAATGTACCTATTACTACAAAGTCGCCAAAATAATATATGCAAAGTGTAAACCAGTTTACAAATAGTAACGTTCGAGTACGAAGGTCTCAATGGACTGACCATGCATACTCACGTACACCCTACTAATTGCTAATACAAACATTCCAAGCCAATCTGTTCTTCATATCACAATGAAAGATGACAAATTGCATTGCGAAAATTAACTTCGTGTTTGATTTTGACAATGAATAATTTGGATATATATATATATATATATATATATATATATATATATATATATATATATATATATATATATATATAAACAAAGAATAAAATAAATTAAAGATACTCTAACATGAAATTTATAATCGTGTCTGTTTCATTCATTAATTCCTATTTCAGATCTGCGCTCTTGTCGGTGGAGCTCTTTCCACTCACTATGATTTTCAGCGAGTCTTTTCACCTACAACTACATCTGTTTATTTAATTAAATAAATAAAGGAAACAGTTATTCCAGGAGAACCAGAAAAATAAGCAGTGGAGATTGTTTCAATATCTAATTTTGACACTAAATATTAAAAGTTCAAAATGTGTAATTTTTTATTTTTTTATTTTTCCCCTTCTACACCTTGCTTCAATACAGTTATTGATTCATCTTATCTTTCCATTAAAATGAGTCATTAATATAAATTGAAATGCTATAAGTGCAGATTTAGTACAATAAATTAGTAAAATCCTTAAACCAGATACTTAATACGTATAGGTACAAATATACTCCTATAAAATAGAATTCATAGTGACTGTAACATTGGTTACTAGCTCAAAATTTGGATGTATTTGTAACATAGAATATCTCTTTCAAAGAAGCTGTATTTTTTCTTAAATATTATAGAGCGATATAAAGATATGAACTAAATAATTGAAGAACTTTAATTTCAATCATAATATGATAATATATAATGTAATAACTCAACGTAAGGAAATCTTTATACTGTGTTAATAATATTAGATATTTTTAGATAGACGTCTCAAGATGAATAAACGATGAGATGTGTTTCCTCTTTATGTCTTTGACCCATTTCTTAAGAGCTCTTTGATTTATGTCGATATATGAGGCAGTACAAAGAAATTAACTGTTAGTATAATGATTCATATGTCAAGTTTCTTTGAATATACTAATTAAAAAGAAATTTTATTTTTATGAGTACATATAAACTACGTTTATTTTATTAATGAATAATTACGTGTTGTGACTTTAATACTTATGTTTCTAGTGTATTTATTTGAATTGACTACTAGCTCCTTTGGTATATTAAAACCCATAAAGTAATAATGTATCCAATCGTTTAAGACTAAAACTAATGGAAATAATATAATACCTATTGTGCTAGTTTTAATTGAATTTTATGCAAAAAAACTGTATATTCCAAGTATAAAATTTTTAAATATTTTAGTAAACTCAAATTACATCATCCGAGCCGACTGGTCGAAATATTTACATTTAATTAACATAATTATATTCAAAGTTGACCTTGACCTACCGTCCGTGATGTTCAATTGTCGCGGTCGCGGCAGATCATTGAGATCGTACGAATTCGATCTTGAGCCCTTGCAACATGTGCATCTCGAAAACCAGTTTGAAAACTTGCTCTTGACGGCACCCATTGCACCGATGTCAATTTATAACTTCGTAACACATATATCCAGCGGATATTCCAAAATACTACAAATCACTTAGCACCAATTACCACACTAATAAATATATTATATGTATATATTCTACGCGATTAGATCATATCCAATACCGAATTCCAATACGAAAGTTTGAACAGTTTGTAACAATGTAAACAGAGCGAGCGATCAGCTGTTGCACAATTTATACAAAGATCATTTATTATAACTGTATCGCTACTAATATTGTTTTTATAATCACTAAAAATCTATTTGCAACGAGGTCTTATACACTATATTTCGTTTTATTTTAATATTTCGACGAACAAGTTCGTTCGTCGCGTGCGCACTTTTACGCGCGATTGATTTGTCTGCGTTAAAACCTCGACTCCCCAGTCACTAGTAGTGACGACCTGTTATCTTGAGGTTACAACTCTGGGGCATTCTTAAACCTGATGACACGAATCAAAAAGTGACATATAATACTAATAAAATTAGTCACGTATAGTTACTCATATACCGAGTATGATACGACCCTTGCGTATACGCAGTGACCCTCAAAGGAGAGATTGAACTTTGACGTAGAGTACCTTCTTTGAATCAAACGAGTCATTCCAATGGTATGTGATTTACCTCGACTTTAAAGGAATAATACACAACTTACTAGAACACTCAGTCATTTAGCTACAGTATATTAGGTGTTTACTTGATTTAATACACGTGTTCTACCCATGTATTTAAAAGGTTAATCCCGTTATACCAGTTCTTCTCGTTTGTACCATGTTTGCAATATAATTTCAAGATTCGACATTGAAATTCTTTGCAACAATCTAATTCTTTTTTCAATTCACGATTTACAAGTTATATATTTATCGTTTTTTTTTTTATTTTTTTTTTTATTGGATAATAATGTCCAGACAATTACAGTATAAAATTACAATTGATATCACAAAGGATTTTTGAGTCTGCTGCATTTTTTTTTATAATTCTTGCCTCATAACTCCGTCATCAACAATAACTATAAACTGATTTGGATTTTTTTTTATATGAATAGCTATAATTTCTGATTAGTCCTATAAAATATTTATCAAAGCCGGTTTAGTAGTTTCGTTTTTAACCGACTACAAAAAGAAAGAGGTTCTTAATTCAATTGTATTTTTTAATGTTTGTTACCTCATAAATCCCTCAGTTATAAACCGATATCGAAAAATCTTTTTTTATCTAACGATTCTTATCTATATTACAGTAAATTTACAAATTAATCCCACTAAAATTTTAATGATGTGTAATTTTTGCATAATACTGAGGCAGTCCGTCATCATGGTACTACTCATATCTAAAAGCGATAATTACAACTTTTTATTAAATAAACCGTAATCTTCTTTGTTACTGTTCTATTACATAAAAAATACTATTTAGTTTTTTTTTTTCACAGATTAGTTTTTTTTTATTTTTTATTATGTAATGGGAATGGATATAAAAGTTCTCAAATAGGCATTGGCGGCACATTGATTTTTTATTACAAAAACTCACTCTTATCTCTTGTTTGCTAAGGAAAAGACCTCGTGTTGAAATATGATTTGTTTGACTTAATGTTATCTCATTTTATATAATAGTGGTCAGATTAAGAAGCACTTACCTAACTCTAGACTTGGTAGTCGCTATCAATTAACAATTTTAAGCAATGGTGAATACTCCAATAACCTCATAATATATAAGTAGTTGCCGTGTGGTCCCGGCATAGAATGGGCCACCCCTTCCTTTCCCGTGGGTGTCAAAATTGGCGACTAAGGGAACTAAATGAACGAGCAATGAACAGCAATGTCCTTCTTAAAACATCAACAAAGCTTAACTGCGGTTGCTAATCACATTATCAATCTCTTCTCCCTCCAAGATACCAATTTGAAATTACACTTGTAGCTGTAAAAATACCATTCGTACTCATATTTATATAAGGTAAAATCTTATCTGGGGAAAGAAGCCCCATTGCTAGCAATATACCCTATCAAGTCGACCTTTTCGCGGTTTCCGCTGGAAAACATTAAGATTGATTTTTTGTTGAATTCGTTGGTCACAATGGGCAAATTAATCTGCTTTGTCCTCATCTGTCAGCCCTCACTAAAGCCCCGCCAATGTATACCAATAGCGCAGGTAGGCTTATTATTTCATTATCATCCATTAAAGTATCTTATCCGCACTTTGCGTGGTATACTTTACAGTACATTTTAATTTGATTGACTTGGTTCTTCTGTAAAAAATGAAATCTCTGTAATCGAGGATATTAAATATTATGGCACACAATGAAGGATGAGTTTAAATTTGGGATATGGCAAAATTTTATTTATAAAGAGAGCGGGATTAAAGTAAATCTCACATTAAATTATCTTTTTAATATAATAAAGTTACAACTAGACGATGTCAGTACATAGGAGTCGTTTAAGAAAAAAATAAATAAGGGATCTTAATAGCAATAGAACTCAAACCAATGATTTTTAGAAATTTCGTCTGTCTCTCTATGTTTATTCCGGCATCATAAAAAATTACTGCACCACATTGAAGGCAGTTTTCATGGTTGTGTTCCTGTAGTTCTAACTTAAATCCTTATGTATGTTTTATCATGACACGCCTTCTAGAAATGGTCTATTCTACTTCTAAAATCCATGCGAATGAAGTACCGGGAAAAGCTATCAGAAACAAAGTATAATGCATGGAATACGTCAGTTTTAAATATTAAATGTTTAGTGAAATGAAGCAAAATACATCAACAAATCAATCTTCTCACTAATAATTATCAAGTAAAAGGGAATGAGGAATCGTACAATCCCACTATCCCAATCCCATACCATATGTTATAAAATTTCGCAAAAGGAAAAAGGAGGGATACAAAATAAATAACTAAAAAGTGCCAATTAATGTTACAACCTCTTAATTGTTGTTAATAAAAAATACCTTTAATCACGACTGCACCTAATCACAGATGAATCAATTAGAATCATTTTATTGTTATTATAATTATAACTAGTAAAATACGTCACTAGACATCGCCATTATTGTTAAATGTGTTAATAAAAGAATCCGCCATCATTATATCAGTGTTTACTACCAACAATAAGACAATCGAAATTTTAAATTAAGATTTAAAGATTTTGTATCTACTATTACATTCAAAGTAAAACCTATGTACGTGACTTTTGATTAGTAGGCCACAGTGCTCTCTTAGTCTGTTAATTTACTACGGATGATATCATCATCCAAATACGTCACACACAACGCAAACTAGGTTTTATGAACCTACGTTGAATAAGTGTCATTCATTATTTTCCTCAAATTCATAAACTATACTTTATAAAATTTGCTTAAATTATTTCATAAATTTATTACCGTTGTTACGTATTTGTTTTTTTCCCAATTTCAGGTGTAACTATTTACTAATTTCTTTGACTAATGTAAATTTGTTCCATATTCATATTATATTATATCAATAACTTATTATGTTTTACAGTTTAACTTTTTTAGTAAAAATAATACAGTTAAGTAGATTTTTTAAACTCGGCTAAATGTTTAGTTGAAAAAAAAATAATATAAAACCAATGAAGATATACACTAAGATTTTTTTTATTTGTTACCGTTATAAATTGATTAATTATGAGATAAACGTATGCATCTTTAGAAGCTACTAATGAGAGATCTTATTAGCACACAGCTAGTCATTGAATAATTAAGTACAACTAAGTAACACAATAGCATATCTAATAGTACGACGTTTAATAGTCCACAGTGCGCAGAGCATAGATATGAATCCAAATAGATTAACACAACTGCATATAAATACATACTGCATATTTTTTAGATCTTTTTCTAATTTCTACATGCAATTAATCATTACACCTTACCGTACATTATCAATACTACCTTCACTCCTCATTAACTAAATCACAATTCGGAATTCATACAACAAAAGTCATGTTTAAACTTTTTTTTTTTTCAAATTGTATTTATTTATTGTTTTCTGACCACCATTACAAAAAATATTTGGAACAAAAGACAAAACTTATTTGCTCTCCCAACAAATCTTTGGCAAAAGAGAAATGTAATATAAGGTTAGCTATCAAAATGATCTTTGTAATCAATTTTGTAGTCTAGTAGTTATAGTAGTGACATGCTTAGTTTTCATACAAATTAAAATATTCGCGACATATATTCGATCTATTTCTACGAATATGTCTATAGTATCTAGCTAGACCGACGACCTTAACCGGCATCAGGGAATCAATAAATACAGTATATTGTCACAAACTTAAAACGATAGTAATTATATAATTTTAGAACTAAGTATATTACTAAGAAATTTGTGTTTAAACAAAGAACAATTTAGATATTATTCCAATTCTCTCGATCACTAAGTATTAATAAATCATGGTTCAACCTAACATTAGCCAAAGCACGTTTCAGGTCAGCTATTTGTATTTCATTTTAGTATTTTAGCAGAATCGGGTAATATTTTTAATTATTCGTTTAATGATAATAATGATTTATTTTTTAATTCTCAATGCAAAAAGAGAATTGTTATAGGTTTGAAACCTATCTATCGTAGCAAAAGAATGCTAGAATTTTAACACGATTTTTATATTTGAAAATTGGTTTAAAATGTTTCTTTTGTTATGATAGATGCATAACCTGTTGTTCCAGAGGCTATGTAAATCAAATTTTTTGCTTTTTTATTTATTTAGTTTGCAATTATTACAACACAAAAGAATCTAATAAGGAGAAATATAAATTTGGCACGACATTAAGTCTCTGAAATCTTATTTTTTGGTAATTCTTTAATTCAATTTATTAAGCTTAATGATAATATAGATTAGTATTTAAGTCTTAACTAATTGTATGATTGTTACTTTAGTATACATTAACACTTATCTATAAGAGCTGTATACGCCTCTAATTGATATGTTCATCTAGCCTTAAGCTTAGAAAGAAAGAAATTTTTTATTCAAGTAAATTTCGATTTAAGCATTTTTGAATAGTATTTTTATTATATTATCATTATTTACTTACTCATAACATTATATTAAACTGTTTAATTATTGTGAACGTCTTGTTGGTGTATCTTTTATAAATAAATATATTTTTTTATTCAGCTTCAGAAAAGAGCATATTGGAATCCAATATTGTAAATGAAAGAAACCTATTACCGTCTCTCAAATTTCTCAGATTAGTGTCTACTTTCTCTACTAAGTGTAATATATTAATAAATAAAAGACAGTGTATGCAGTGAATGCATTTTATTTTTGAGATCCCAAAAACACACAAACACAGTGCAAACCTTTGATTATAGATCATTGAATAATTAGGTATATAATTTCATAATAATGATAAAAAAATGTAAACAAATATAATGAACGCATAATTTCTTAAATATACTTATGTTTAAGAAGTCCTTAATTCTACAATCTTATAAAAACATTAATATAATATCAGATTATATGGCACACGAAGCATCGGTTTCCTTAACTTAAATAAAAAAATATTAAATAATTAAGTGCAATCAAATCACACAGTGAGATTTTTTTTTTTTACTTTTACATATTTGCATAGTGCACGTGACACACTTATATAAAACTTAAATATAAACCAGTCCTTTAATTATAATGCCATGTCATTATTATAATAATATTAAAAATACAATAGATGTACCTAAGAAAGTCAACATTTGTATATTCAACACAGCAATCAGAGAAAAAACATGTTTTCTCACATAATTTAAAGCTAACATAGATAATTATGTGCAAATGAGTCGTTCAAATAGTTTTCAAAACAACGACTTCCTCTTCTTGAACATACACATGTTGTTCCGGTGCTACGTATGAAGTATACGAGCGGTCCATTTGCTGCGCAGGCGGCGATGACGGCCCCGGAGAGGCGCGCGGAGACGGCACTCGGGGCCCGGGGACTAGCTAGCCGCGCACATTCACCGTTGTACAGCCGAAGATCTCGTCCATCTGCCGTGACGAGAATGTCACAACGATACGTCGCTCGCCATGACGCCGCGGTACGAACTTGTCCTGGTAATTCACGAACTCACCAGGCTTCACATCCCGGAACCTTATCTGGAAAACAACGGTACATTAAATCACCCCACATCATTTATTTAATTTAAATCAGACGTATAACTACGAATACATACCTGACGTGGCCTCTGAACGCCAGCGCCCTCGAACGTAAAGTAGCAGTCAGTCAAATGAATGTTCAGCGGATTCTGGAAGCTGAATGTTACAGCGCATTCTTGTCCAACGCAAGGCTGGCTTCTCACCTGTAAATATTAAATTTATAGGATTAGTCAAAAAGCTTCGTACAATTTAAATTTATATACACCAACTCATGGAAAGGATAAAAGGATTGAGTACCAATTGCCATTACATCGATTATTAGAACATATATTCATAACATTATTTATATGAATTGAAATAAAGAATGAAATGGAATTTTACTGTCATACCTGCACTTGCATCCTGGGCTTGTGAAGTGGGAAGTCGTCCTCATCAGACCACGCCTGGCGCGTCTGCTTCACGTAAGCCATAGCATGTACTTTTACCATAGAATGATCCACTAATTTATCCATGTACTCCTGAGGTGTGATATGCAATTTTAGAACTTCGCGCTGACCAGCTCGCACTATGAACTCTCCTTGAGCTCTTCGGAGGCGGGACGCAATCGCGCCGGTGTAATAACACGATGACGCCGTCAACACGCACCAGATGGTACGGTCCTCATGCGATTTATTCTGCAAAAAGGTCGAAAAATATATTTGCTAATAACTTGCCAAGCCAAAACTCATTGAAAAGAGTAATGATATTATTATACCTGAATGTTCATAGTACAATCGAAAGGTTGGCCATATGGTACGATGTCGATATCCATGAGATCAAAGTATACATCCTCGAAATTACGATCAGGATATTCATAATACTGCTGCAAGCGTTGGTAACCACGACATGATGCAATAACCGCAAGTCGTTCAGGAGATGAGCTATCCACAGTCTTATATTCGTGAGTAATCTCCAACATATCGCTTTCACCTTCATCATCATCGCGGTTTGGATTCTTTGTCAGAATCTTGCGACCCACTCTGAAAACAGTAAAAATGCAATATTTAACTATTTTAAGCCATTTAAACTGCACCTAGACATGAATACTTGATAGTTTAATACTAAATCAACGAATTAAACAGAATATCCTATGCACTATGTATGTTAATTAAATTAAAAAGCTACAAACAATACTTACTGGTACTGATTGGATGCCATTCTGATAAAGCCCCACTCTGAATTTTCTTCCTCTTGGAAGTGGCATAATTCAGCATTGAGCTGGCAGAACATGAATGGTGTATCATATTGGAAGCCTACTTCTCCGCGCCGTACAGCTTCCACGCTGGCAGGTCCGCAGTGATACACTGACTCTGACTCTTCCTGGGGCGTAGAGTCAATAATCTGCCAGCCACTATATCCTGTTTCAAAAACGTTGATCTAATTATACAACGATTAAAAATATTAAGAAAAATAGCTAAATTCCTAAACCCCACCTACCGCCCCTAAATTGCTCAACACATAAAATTTATCAAATAAAGTATTTTTTATAATACGATTAATTTTTATACCTTGTGGTAAATCAGGTCGTTGCATCCATACATCATTCCAAACGTGGAAGTTCCAGCAAGAGTCATAGCAGTCTTCATCGGGTCCATTAGGTACTTCGTTGCCATCACGATCAAAGTATTTGTCCACCGTAAAAGTGCGATTGGTATCGTGAGCCGAAACGTAGTTAGTCACAGAACGGCACGGTATACCTAAAAAATTAAATATACATATCTTATATGTAAGTTTGTATAGATATTTGGATGAATAATTGTTGCTCAATTTATTTAGTAAATGAAAATATAGGTTGTTTTTATTCCAATATACGTGAACAAATCCGCGGGCTACAGCTAATAGATACTATACCTAGAGCTCTGCATATTGTTACAACCAATCCCGAAAATACCCAGCATTGGCCATATTCAACTGGACGACCGCCATCGGTAAGGTAGCGCTCCATAATAGCCACTGATCCAGTCCAAGCATGCGGGGCTACTCCATCTTTGTATTCTCCATCATAACGTCCAACCATTAAACCATCATCATCATGATTTGAATTAATCTAAAATAAAAAAGATATTAGTATCATATAATCTAATAACATATTGTAATAAAACATACAAGACAAAAACTTAACATACCATGGAGGAAATAGCTCTGCAAACACGAATTGGATTACCACGTTCTGAATGTTCCAAACCACTTCTTTCCAGCAAATACATACAAGCTGGGAGGACCACGTCATCAAATTGGCCATAGATCCATTTTCTGCCTTTTGGTTGGCGCCAAGTACCGCACCAAATCTTTCCTTGCTCATTAAGAACGTATTCTTTTCGGGATGATTCATTGTCCATGTATACGGAATCCTCTCGACACCATGGGTTGAACAAGATGTATACATCTTCATCGCATTTGTAGTCGTGGCGATTGTCACGCTGGCCAAATCGGTTAGTCTGTACCCAACAATTCCATACACCGACGGGAGCAGTGGCAGGAACATGCACTTGGAAGGTAATGGTGTTCCCATCTTGTCGTTGAATACTGATATCCCACCTATCCATATCGTGAGCTAAAGACGCCAAATTTTGCATTGAGCCATGACGTGACCCATGACGTGACCCAAAACCACGTCCGAATGAAGAATGTTGCGTTGTAGTTCCATACCGATCCATCATTGGCCGATCCATGGGACCATGCGGACTGAGAGGGCTATGCTGCAAGGGTAGTGGTTCATTACTAAACGAACTACGACGAACCCCATATGTAGTTGTTTCCCTCATTCCACTCATTGGACCCATTGAACCCATTGGACCCATAGAACCCATAGTTCCCATAGTGCTCATTGTTCCCATAGTAGCCATACCAGTACTAGTATCTTGCATACGTGCCATTCCCAATCCCATTCCCATACCCATCATGTCACGGGAATGTTGAAATACTCCCTGTTGTGCATTCCAATTGACAGGTAACACGACGCGTGTACCCTTCGTAACACTAGGTTTAGGACCTATAACAATATAAAAACAGTATATAGTTCAAGCACATAGCACTTATATAAATTCACACAAATCCATTATACTTACCAAAACAAAACACAACACGAATCATATCCTGTTGCTTATCGTAGGTTCTATCGAAGCGTACCGCAAAGAAGAAATTTTGACCTCTTCGCAAAACGGGATTGGGTAAAATATTATCATTTACCAAATCATACTGCTCTGTGTGGTGATCTTTGGAATTGTCACGTGAGTAAAACTCAGTTAACTCCACTTTCAAAGGTTGTTGAGAGTAATAACTTTGAGGGATCATATCTAACGTATCTTGACGTCGACGCCGTTCATTCTGATCAGCCATTTTACAGATTAGATTATGAGTATACTGCGTATTAGGGCTATTTCTCATAGAATGCTTCATGCGATGCAACGCGCCGGTGCTATGGGAGCGACCAGGGCGATGCTGAGCTGTTGGTCCGGCGCGCTGCATGGGCCAGCGGCGGGTTTGCCCTGGGCGCTGACAAAAGCTTGAAATGTTGTAGTAAGCCGATAAACCCGGTACGTAATTTGATGGCATTCCACCAATAGTCATCTGCTGCTCCCTCATGCAGCTCAAGGTGCTCATCCCTGATGTCAATCCGGTTATACCACCAAGACCCATACCAGTCATGCTGGATGTCATGCTCGAGGACATTCTGTCCATACTGGATCTTCGGACCATGGACATCTTGGCGTAAACGCTATACGTCAGTGAAGAAATCCAACTACCCGTGGAGTAGTGCACTGTGCTCTGGGCTAACACCAGAGCGAATGCTGCCAATAAGCACTGTCTAAGCCCTTTTATTGTGGCAGCGGCAAAAAGAGATCATTCACCGGGTAAGTGTCACCTGTCAACATAGGCGCCAGAGACCCTGGTTTCTGGCACTACTTTTGTCCGTGTTTACTGACTTGTATAAAAACAGGAACATTACTACCAGCTACTGTAATTTACATTGAAAGCGGTACCGTTTTCAAATTAAAATACTGTAATTAAATATAACATTGAATTAACCTTAATAATTGAAATACAAGTACAAGAAAAAAGACATACAAACCTTACAATTTTTTTTTTCACAGCGTCGACATCCACGTGATTCTGGACCATCGTATTAATTTCTAATTAATTCAACGTGACAGCCCAGCTGACTTGCCTTCGTTCTCAACTACCACCCTTTACTGTGACCCCATCCGCGATAACCAGATCGCGCAAGCAGGCCTAACATTCAATTATAATCAATTAAAAAATATACAAATATCAGAATTCATAAGGTAGATCATTAACGATCGAACCAATCATTAAATGAAAAAAAAAACTCATTAAAATCTATCCATTTGGAAACTACAATGTACAAATCTACATTAGACACTAAAAATCTCTTCTTACTAAATAATCATAAATATATTTAAAAAATACCTAATTTATATAATTTTAATGCGCATTGAATAACTTACCAAATGTCTTTATTGAACATAAATAAGACCTTTTTTTGTAGACTATGCTTTTCTCGCATTTTACACTTTGTTTTCATAGACCTATTGTAGGACATACAAATGCGGTACCTGATACTTTAGCTCGCGGTTCTTTTGTTTTAGCAACCTAGTCAAATGTTAGGTTCAGCCTAAAAGGTACCTATCTAATTTATTGAAATTATATAATTTTATTACGACTATTTTTTTAACTTCCTTAGTCTGTAGTTTTAAAATGATGTAATCATTTTAAAACTACAGACTAAGGAAGCATAACACTATAGTCCTCAGGAATGACAATACGTGAGTATTACAAAGGCATCACTTATTTTATGTATTTTATTTTATTAAATTTTTTTATTAATCTATTTTTTTGATCATGTTTTATCATGCTGTTTTAAAGCAACTTTCCATCACATGGATCATCGGCTTGTTTGAAATCCAAATTGCATCCAAAAAATACATCTACTTAGTACGTAACACCCACTCAGAGTAGACCACAGATAAGAAGTAAATTATGTACAAAATAGTTATAAATTCTCCTGCTTGAGTATTCCAAAATGTTTTTTTTTTTTATAATACTTAGATTGTCAAACAAGCTGACGGCCCACCTAATGGAAACTAATAATCGTTACCTATAAACATGGACTGCACAACGAACATCACAGATCGCACTGTGATGTCCATGATACTCCCCATGGTCTGCCATTCCTAAGGTCAAAGGTATTATGTCTCCGTACCCTGTAATTTTACTACCATATTCTTTATAACCTGCACAACTACTTCACGACAGAAACACGGGTGGGACAGAAGTACACATGTTGACGACTTTTGTATAAATTCTCCCTCTCGCACGCTTGCTTGAAATGCTTTCATCCTGTATTGCGGTGCGAAAGGTAAAATGAAGGTATTATGATAGTGAAATTGCAAGGTACAAAGTAATTCATAATCATCATTCCTATGAGTATACCACAGATAATATAATACTATTTGCTGACAAAAATTACAAAATATTGCAACGACATCATTTTCCCTTACCAGGCGGGTAGTATGTTTTATTCCCGCCCCCATTGAATAAACAAAAAGTAACTACGTAAATATATACCTACCTATATAAATATTATTTACTAGTAACTAGACAATATCTGTCCATAGAAAATAATTTGGAAAAATTTATAAGTATGTACAATCTTATAAGAGCAATAGAAGCCAAAAAGTATTATTGTTACTCTACTAGTGTAGACGTAGCGTTTGCCTATACAAGGTCGGCACAAATTAATCTTCTTTCATATCTTAAGGAGAATATACGAGTACCATGCACTAATTTATCAGAGGGAGACTTTGTAGAAAAGTCGTTTGCTTGGGTACCTCTGTCTTATTCGTTTTTCTACCGTGAAGCAATTGTGTTTGCATGGCTGATATTCGGTTTATAAAGTGGGATATGGCTGTGAATTTACAGGATACACTTAAAACCTCAGGAATAGCAACGCATGGGGGGTATCATGGGCGAGACAGTATACTCTGTTATGTCCACAGTACTGCTCATGTCTACAGGCGACGATTACCACTTTCCATCAAGTGGGCTGTGAGCTTGTTTGCCATTTTAAGTTGCATAAAAAAAAAAACTAAATTTGAGTAAGAACTCAAATTTATCTAGGTCATGGGTAAGTTGTTATATTTTATGTATTGCTATTACCCTTATTGGTAGGGGGTCGCCTTACTCTACATTTATCTATACAAAGCGCCCCATATATGGGTCTTTCACTTTTTCAATATAATAACTTAATTTATTAAATTAGTTAAAATTAATTATCTTAATCTTCTGTCAGTCAATAACTGTTACACTGAGTAACACAAGATCGCAGCAAAAAGAGTGTTGCGTCATCTAAAAGGAACCAAGAGTTATGGAATACAATATAATAAATAAACGACTTTGCCAGTTATCCATGAGTATGCTGATGCTGATCACGCTGGAGATAAAGATCACAAATCATACTCTTTGTTTGTCTACATGTGCCAAAGAGAAGTTATTTGTTGAGAAACAAAGAAACGACGCACAATAGTACTATCAACAGCCGCAGCATAATATGTGTCATCATCAAAAGTTTAAAAAAAAGCCGTATTTTTGCACAGGTTTCTCGCTGAAATTTTTGATACCAGTGCAAAATCAATCATTATCTTTAATGATAGTTAATTGGCCATTGCTATCGCAGAAAACCTGGTTGATCATCAACACAAAGCACATTGATGTCAACTACATCTTCGGTAAAAAAAATATGGAATTGATGAGGTGACTGAAGTATATAGACACCTCCCATATGCTAACGAATATACTAAGCAAATCTCTATTAAGAGGAAAGTTTGAGTATTTTTTTATTTCGTGAATTTAGATTAAGATTTAGTTTTAGTTGTTGTTGTTTAGTTTTTAATACATTTTAAAAATACTAAAATTGCAGTACAGATACTTATTATAACGTACTTATGTACATTATAGCAGTCTAAGAACAAGGAATTACATAGAAGGAATGATAAAATAAAAACTGTAAATCATATGATTACCCCCTTCCTTTTAAGCAAATATAATTAGTAAAAAGAGGACAAAAGGTACACCCTCAGTTGTTTTTTTTAATATGTAAAATTTTTCATTGATTAATCAAATATTTTCTATAAACTAGTATCCTATGAATTGAGAAAAATAGCAACTGCTGGTATATCTTTAGTCTTCTTTTTAGTAATTATATTTGCAAAAGAAGAAAGAAGGCAACCATATAATTTAGTTTTTATTTTATCATTACTTCTATGTAATTCCTTGTTCTTAGATTGCAATTGAAATAGTGATTAACAATTGTCAATTCTGTCAAAAAGTGTAGATTCGAATTTAAAAGAGCGGGTTCAGAAGTACTTGAATCCAGAGCCGTATAATATACATACAAAAAATACATCGGTGTCATCGGTTGCCTAGCAACGCTTAGTTTTGTTGTTTGTTGATCAATATTTTAAATGTTACTAATAAAATATCAATCAAAATATTGTTTTGTCGTTTATTAAAAATATTTATGTGGAATGGAGATAGTAATATGATAATAAAAATTTTACAAAAGAAATTTCTTACAAATAAGATATAAGAGTAGGTAAATATATTAAGACTGTAAAATGGGTTTATATAAGCTATACAGCTGTAATGTAGAAATACAATATAAAAGTTGGTTTCTTTCAAAAGCTATGTTGTTTACAATGATTACGATGGTATTAAATGTAATATTACCATTCTTTGTGGCCTATAGAAGTAGAGGTAAGTAGTTATTCAAGAGCATTTATTAGTTTTTTGTGTCGTTTTACTATTTCAAGTTTTTAATAACGCCAATATATTTGACAACCTGATAGAAGGAAATGGATTGTTAGTAATAAGGTCTAATAGCCCCCTTGCTGATAATACACCCAATGAGATTGACCTCCACGCGGTTCCTCTTGGAAATTATCGTAGTTTCTTCTTGTGGAATTCATCACGATAGGTAAACTGACCTACATTCATCCTCAACTATCTATTATATTTCACTGGTACTCCGCCAGCTTATACTGCCATCAGTAGTAATAGGTGGAGTTACCATTTTAACACATAAAATAATTAAGACTGTGTTCCACAAAAAAAAACTCACTTTAATTGTGGCAAGACCAGTTAATCATCATTATATCATCCATTAGCTGTCCACTGCTGAACATAGGCCTTCCTATAACCCCCATATGCTTGGCAGGCAAATTAGTAAACGCAGTTAGGCTTTGGAGATGTTTAAAGAAAGATGTTGCTGCCTACCCTCGACTATTAGGGGGAAGGAATTGTTAGTAATGGGGAGGTTAATCCAAATTTCTGAAATCAGTTAAAAAAACTGCTTCCTGATTTCCATATCACCAAGTAACTATTATAATCAAATAAAAATAAATTTTACAGGGTTTTGGCTGAAGTCACAAAGTTATTATGAACAACCTGTAGTACATTTTACATATGACTATTTATTAGTAGCAGAAACTGTGGATCCCAGTCAACCTATAATATGTGGAGAGACTTCAATATTAGACGAAGAGATTACCAATGAAGAGAACTGTATAGACATGCAAGTAGGTAAATTATAATTTGTATATAAAAATATTTTTATGAACATAAATAGCATTGATAGATTATGTAGTTAGGTATATGAAAACTTTTAGACAAACCTGTACAATAATATAATAATAAATTATTAGTTACACTTATAATTGTTTAAAATTTTAGTATTATCAATTAAATTATGTATCAATACATATTCAAAAGCCTTCCAGTTTAGTGCAGGCAGAGATTTTAAGGTATTTTGTCATTAAAATCTTTGCTGAAAACAGTTATGACTTTATTAGTCAACTTTATTACTCAAAAAGACTACTGGCACATACACATTGTACTCATATTATAAATGTGAACATGAGGATGAGTGGATGTTACTCTTTCATACAAAAATAATGAATAGATTTTTAATAAAATTTTGTACAAAGATAGCAAAGTTATCATCATGCAATTATGATGCTTACAGATCTTAATTTTTTATGCTATTAACTAGTTTTTTAATTTTATTCATATTACAGGTACAAGAATATGATTATAATGGAGATGGAAAAAATGATATGCTTAATATTATATTCAATCTCAATATACCAATGGATAAAACAATAGCATCGACAACTATAATTTTAGCATTAGACTTCCAGTTAAAGGTTTATATAAATTTAATTATACTATTACATATTAAATTATAATCATGCAACAGCTATACATATAAAGGCTAATTCTATTATTAACAATCCATTAGTTTTCTCTGAGTACTGTGATGCCTTACAATAATACATCCATATTTTTGATGTATTTTTGAGTTTTTTGTACTCACTTAGATATGGAGATATAGATATCTCCTGGTAAAAAAAGATAACACCCACTTATCTGTTTCCATATTTCAATGAGATCTCCGAGACAAGTTATAATACTTTTATCCTGAGAAGTAAAAATTCATGAGAGGATGCTATGGATGACTTAATATATTCATGGTGTTATTCTTGTCAGATCTCATCAGATGGACCATTATGAGTAGCTTCACTCTTTTAATAGCGTGGTTGTTATAAATTTATAAATTTTTAGACCATGTCCTAAATTTAACTTATCATTTATTTTCAGACAATATGCCCCTTACAAATGCAGACTTTAGCAATTATAAACGAGAATTTTGCAGTACCTCCTTCTGGGCTCAAGTATTATGGTGATATTGAATTATACCAAGTTTCTCACTTACCTTGCTTACGAAATATTGTGGACACAAAGTATAATATTTCACTGTTGAATCACTCTTTAGACAGTAATGAGAATATTGTTGATTTGATACTAGAAAAATACATAAATAGAGAAGGTAACTTATTTTACTATTTATATTTTGTTATTTATATGTTAAATGGAAAATCAATATGAATCCTATGTTAGGATGTCTTTATAAGAAGTCTAAGTAACTAGCAAATGTTCACAGAGACCACACAAAATTTTTAATGTACCTTTTTAAAGTTTTGTTTGAGTTGCTGGACTACAGAAGCAATACATTCATTGATGTTTAATATCACATGAGGTATACAATGGACATCACAATGATATAGTTTCCTTAATAGTGATATATTAAATATAGAATATAAAGAGCCATACTAATATTATGGTAGAAATTTGATATGCAATCTGTTCATTATTGGTAAAACAAATGCTACTTTTTCAGTCATTACCCAAACCAAAACACTGCATTCTAGAAGTCAGAATGGCCACACAGGCAATATGGAAGTGAGGATGTATCTCAGGATACCAGAAATGAAAATCCATTATATACCAAGCCTACTGCAAGAATTAAAATGGGCATGGCCTCAATATCTGTCATTAGTGGTTATATTTTACTGGATATTCAACAAGATAAAAAAATTTGTATTTAACAACCGTTTACTGATGGCTTGGGAAATAGTTCCTTGGAAAAAAAGTTAAATTAAAATTATTTTTTATAAGAATATACATGATGGTCCATAAGTTTATATGCCAGTTCATTTTTCTATATATAAATACATACAAATTGTATTTAAAAGTAAATAATTATAAAACTGTACATCTATCTTTTATTTATTATGTTACAACTACCTATTAGTTAAATAAATATTTACATAATATTAATTGTGAACATGAAATCACTGAGTTAAATTGAGAGTAGGAAATCCAATATCTGATTTTGATTTGTCCAGTTCAGCTCTATTGTCTTCAATAATAAATGTTTTTCCACTGAAGTCATCCAGTTGAACTAATAAGTATCGGCACATGTAGTTTCCATATTCATTCTGGAAAATTTTAAAATATATAAACTTATGAGTAATTAACATACTAATAACAATTTTTAAGATTAGAAAAAAAAAACAGTGTAATAAATACTTCAATTGGCACCAAATTATCCTGCCTTTTACAATATTTAATATTTTACAATATTTATTATTGGTCTTTCCTCATGTAAGGATTCAGATAATGTAGAAATAAACTAATGGAAAAATAAACTATGTTTATATTATAAATTGATACTAATAAAAATTTCAAATATAGATAATCTATTTTTTATGCTAGGTTTTGGGATAGACAAACAAAATACAATTAATTAACTAATAATAAAGGAAAATATTGAATATATATACCTGTTTCATGTCTAATTCAACAACAGCCTTATTCCTGATTCCTTTAATATAGAATTTCATCCTCATATGTTTAACTCCATCTTTTTCATAGACAGCATGGCTGACATGTGTGCGTCGTCTCCTAGTTGTCTCTTCCCCATATCCTTTTATAGGAGCACCAAGGGCATCTTCCACTCGAGGATCCTATGATTAATATACCTACTACAGATTATTTGTATGAAAAAATATAAAAAGTAAAATACAAAAATGGTTAATTTAAACTTTTAATCATTCTTTTTAATTACTGAATAGATTTGAATGAAATTAAGTACAAAAACAAGTTATATCCTAACTTAGCACACAAGATACTTTATATTGTCATAGTTGTAGAATACTGATGGATATATATATTTAATATTTGTCAAATCCATCAGTATTCTACAATTATGACGATATATTGTGAATGTGTGTGTGTCAATTCAATACAATTTATACTTTTATATCAAATATTACTTTATAAAATAAATAATTAATAATAAATTAGATTTTGAACACCCCTATGTGCCCATTAGTTACAAAACTTTTTTAAAACTTAGATCACCTCATATTGAGATACATACAGACACCTCATATTGGGAAAAGTGTGTTAGAAGCCCACACCCCTTGAAACAAGAGAATGTGAGATTCCTTTTGCTATCAGTTAATCTTAAAATTTATCTTTATTATCAATGACAAAATCCTATCAGGGAGTGGAAGAGGTTGTTAGTAATGCGGACTACCAGTTCCATTACTAGCAATATACTCTGTTAGATTGACTTCTATGTAGTCCCCCCTGGAAACCATCATGCTGAATGTAAATTCGTCATGATAGGCTAACTGACTGGCCTTTTCATTCTCACCTATCATCCCTCATTGGTGCACCATCAGCGTATACCGTTAACGCAGGCGGGAGTACCTTTCCATTATCACCCATTAAAAAAAATTGTCCTATTAATTAGGTATTTCACAACAGTAATAATTGATCGGTTTTTATCACTTACATTCTTGCATTTTTCAAGGGCTACAGAATATATACTGTTAGCACTATTGCTAGAAAATAGTTCTCTGAAAACATAATAGAAAATGACTCCAGTGACACCAATTCCAAATAATATTACGCCCGTGTAAGACGCAGTTTTAGTAGTTTCTTTTATCTTTTCTCCAAGCGGTCGTACATCAGTCGAGACATCGGCTCTTTCACTTGACTTGGTTAAACTTCTATTCTTTTCAGTAGAATAACAACGACCATTAAATAAAGAAAATTTTAATATTTGCTCAGTAGCTGGTATCAAATTATTAGTTTTAGTAGATCGCAACACTGGAAGCAACTTAGAAATAGTTGTCATATTTATAAGTAATTATAAATCTAGATAACAAAAAATGATGTTGAACTTTGGTAAATTTAAAACATTTAAAGGTTAGAATAACAAACAAACAGCTGATTGTAAAAATTACCAGAGTATATAACCAAGGGATGAGAGAATGCACTTCATACACGCCACCTAAAACGACTTGGTCAGGAAAATTTCACCAACCTACACATTTTTTTTTTTAAGTAGATTGTTAAGTTGCATGTTTGGATGAACATTTTTTTAGCAAAAATAAAACAAAACATAACATTCTTAAACATATTTATTATTTTATACAATATTACTTTGAGGTCTCAATTTCGTGTTATATACAAGTTTTCAACGCTTCCCATAATATCTCGTCTATTTCTAAAGTAAACCTCGTAATAGAGTCAATATTAATTATATATAGTCAGAATTCCTACGTCAAAATAAAAAGAAATATAATATACAAAACTAAAATTGTTCTACAAATAGTTTTGATAACACCACCACACCATCACATTTGACAGTATTTTTGTCAGTTAATTTGGCATTATTGTGATTTATTATTTAATTAAACGTTGGCACCATCTTTCCTAACCAAATCCATATTAAAGCTAATATGAATGTTACGCAATACTTGATTACACACACGCTCCGTTAGTGATGTACCGAGATAAAGTGAGTTTTTTGAGTTTGGTATTCCAACACCTAATATGTAATCAAGCATTAATATCAGGGTTCGCCGATATATATCAGCGGATATATATCACGATATATATCAATTGATTTTTATCTTGATAAATATCAATTGATTTTTTCCTGTCTTCTGAACTAAAAATTTTGGAAATTTAATTAATTTTTTTCATAGGAGGCCAGTGTATAGAAAATGTTTTGACAATGAATTGACAAAAATAGCAACTGATGGTGTATCGTCCTCTTTTTATTAATTATATTTGCATAAAAAAAAGGAGGCAACCATATGTTTTGCAGTTTTTATTTTATTATTCCTTCTATGTAATTCCTTGTTCTTAACTATGAATTGAGAAAAATAGCAACTGATGGTGTATCTTTTGTCCTCTTTTTACTAATTATAATTCCATGTTTACTAATTATAATTGCATAAGAAGAAAGGAGAAAATCATATGATTTACTGTTTTTATTTTATTATTCCGGCTGTGTATTTTAGCTCACATAGTACCTAAATTTCAAAGACAAAAAACCACTTATAATATATAAATCCCATACATGACGACTTTGTTTCATTCAGAGACCGAGAATTTAAGCCAACCCACCACGAACCTAAGAACAACAAATAAATCTTTGCCATGAACGGACAACCATGTAGCATGAGCATATTTTGATGAAATTAAAAATCGAAAACCTTCATACTGTGTGCGACAAAGATAACGGAATAGGTGTGCGCGTATACTAATGTGGTTATATGTGTTGTGTGTGTGTGTGTGTATGTAGGTTGAGTTAGTCTAAAAACAAGGAATTACGAAAACTTTGGACTGAGTATAAACTACACATATTTATATATGTCTGTGATTGTTATATGTAATAAAAAAAGACAGTAAAATTAATTTTACTTTAGGAGCGATCAAAGGAGAAATATCTTACGCATACTTTCAACTTATACTTTGCTTCATTATTATCTCTGTGATCTTTCGACTATTCATTTTCTATGCCATAAAAGATTTATACTTAGATTACGTACTTATACCGTACCATGTACTTTATACTATGTTATATATAACAGTAACAGTTTTGACAGTTTCTAGCTGTCATGTAAGACTGACGAAATGACATTTCTCTCTACGCTCCTTAATATTCTGAAACGAATCATATCATTATTCCTATTGTAATACCAGTCAGTCATTTTTGTAATTTAGTGATTTTTTTGCTTGTATAATTCGTCTATTGATTTGTATTGTACATTTACAAATTTGTCAAAAAATAAAAATTAATATTCTGTTATTTGTTATAATAATGACGAGTGAAAACCAGAATAATCAAATAGTTTACACACAAAAGCATAACAATTTATTTGTTTAATATTTTGATCATATATATAATAAAGTCCCAAAATAATGGATTGGATAATTTCGGACGAGTTAGGCCTTACGGTGGGCCATGTAGTCGGTTGGGGCGCCGCCGGAGCTATGATTATTGGGGGCATTGCCCCATACATTCCACAGTATAGGCAAATTAAAAGAACGCAAGATGCTGAAGGATTCTCTCTTTATGTGTGTTTAGCTCTCTTAATAGCCAATACTCTAAGAATATTATTTTGGTACGTTCAAACATATATTATAAATTTATTCTGAATCTATAGCTACATTTAATAGGGGACTACTACTTCAGACATATACTAACCTTAAAAACTCTTTAACATCCCATGAGCACACATCTCACCATGAGGAGATTATAGCCTACTATTACAAAGCTGGCTGGACAGTTTGGTATAAGATTATTTTGAATTTTCCTTCCCTTCCACTGATGTATCATGCCTGGTCTTGTTGGTCACATATGAATGACCATACTAACATTTACTAACGATTTGCAGGTTTGGTAAGCGTTATGAACTGCCATTATTAATTCAAAGCATTGTAATGAATATAACAATGTTTATAATGATACATCTATGTGTTACTGTTCGTAAAAAGAATCAAATTATTAGAGCAAGAGAGAGAATATTCACAGGTGAGTGTCATTTGTTATTTAATTAAAGTATAATAAAACCAATTTATACTGGACTCGAGTTAAAGGATCTAAAATTATTATTCCAAAACTCAGTGAAATTACAAGGTATGAGGCATTAATCCTCGGAAATGGCAGTCCATGAATAATAACATGGGTGTTGCAGTATGTTCTGTGATGTCTATGATGATGTTCATGTCTATAGGCTATAATTACCTATCCTCTTTAGGTACATAAATAATTATAAAAGATTTTCCCCAAGAATAAGAGATTAAGAATTTTAATCCTTTTTACTACATTGATTGAATAACAATGCACTTTAATTATTTATAAAAATTGCCTCATATATTTCAATTGGTTAAGTTCCTTTAATGTAAAATATCAGGTTGCTATATTTTTCAATCTACTGGGGTAGATTAAAATCTGCAATATAAAAATATTTCTTTGTTGTGTTAAGTTTTATTTGTGATTATCATTTATTATTCTTTTTATCACTACTATTGCCCTGATTTGTGGCTTATATAGTTTTTTTATATCATCATAATGATGGAAATATAGGGTGTATTTGTTATGGTAAATGTAATTATTAAAATTATTTTTTTTTTAATACATATTATAGAATGCAATAACTGTTTGAATTGAAAAGTTTTAAAACAGTTATCTAAATTTTTAAACATCTTTTCATACATAGTTATTTAGGAATGTAAAAGATTTTTAAAAAATAACACAACTGCTATAAAATTTTGACCATGTTATATACAAGTACTCAGTTTAAGTCAATTACTGCTTGTAAGAAACGAGCTGTATTGAAAGTGCTACCTTATTTTACCTTATAAACAGTAAAATGTGTATGCTTTTGGTAAACCGCTTAATACAATCAAGCCACTTAATACCTCATGAAATTCATTAATACTTCTCAGAATAATATAAAAATAAAATAATTATCTGAATATTCTATACATATATGTACAGTAATCCATCAAAAATCTGGTTTTAATTTTATTCAATATTTAATGTCTTTATAAAAGTATATGAAAACAAAAAATAAACAAAACCAGTTTATATCCATTTAATATTGATTAGTTTAATTACTATTGATCATCCTGACAGACATTAAACTAATTATTTCGTTTTTGAAAAGCATTCTTGATTAGAAAAAAAAAGACATTAAATAAACATATAGTATTAACAAATATAAAACATATGCTAGCTCGACAAGTACATTTACAATTATATTTCTTTGATGAATGCAATTATACTGAGTTAATTATTATGCATATCATGTATGCATTATGTTATTAATTTTCTTTTCTACATTTCTCTCAAATTTAGTGCATGTGGTTGATTTATGTTTATAATTGAAATGTATAATAGCTTAATCTAACATGGTCCTAAATAAAACATTTTATTAGCTTTAATTTTCTTATATTCTCGTAATATAAATGTACACTTTTTTAAATTCATTGTACAATATAATGTTGTGTGATTAATTTGTATGTTTACCTTAAGTAACACTCAATTTAATCATTTGGAACATGAGCACCTAGTCAGATAATCATTTAAAATAAGTATGTTATTAATTTAGATATAAGTATGTTACTAATTTGGACATATTGTCACTACTTACTACTTATTGTAGTTCCACAATTTATACATACACCTACTTTTATGTACCTATATTAGTTATTTTGTTATTTTGTATTTAATTATCACAATGTTCTTTGTTGTAAGCAACCATTTTATTTAGTTTAATTTTATTTAATAATATTAATATTGACACAAAATTTTACCTATTCATTATATTTTTTATTGTTACCATAGAAAAATTTGCTGCATATGTATATTTTTTTTTTATCTATGTCGTTACTCTTATTTTATGTTTTGTTGGTGGTTGGTGTATTGGTGGTGACATTAGGTGCAATATTCATGTTATATATACTGTTGTGTTGTGTAAACGGATCAGCTCAGCCGGACGAAACAGCGCGCTGGCTTGACCAACGGACCGATGTCTCGGGCAGTGAAAAGCCGCGGCGGTTCTATGGTAAGTAAGCAGCGATCAAGGAGTTTAAAGTGAACACGAGTTTGCAATATCCATCGTCAATCACTCATCATTGTTTGTTTTTTTCAGAAGAGTACATCTCATGCTTTATTTGATTTTTTTAAATTATATATTAGATTTAATTGTGTATTGTATATTAGTTATAATTTTGCATTGTTTGGGCTTTATCATTGTTATATGTTATATTATTGTGCATGTTCAATTATGTTTTGTGATGGGTGTGATGATTTTTTAATAATTATAATCTTAATTATATTAATAATCGTGATTGTCGGCATTTAGAACATTTATTACATATATTGATACTATTAGAAATACTTGCGCCCTTCCACAATTTTCGTGACCGTTGTAGAAGAGAGCGTGTGTTTTTCTAAAAATAATACATCAATATGTGTACTTAATTATTTATTTTAACTAAAGAATCGTGATGTTTCAAAAGAGCTGCACATATTTTAAAAATTATTGATCTTCGATTATTTATACATATATAAAAAAAAGTGAAAGTTTACTAACATTGATATTAGACGGCGACAAAAATCCCATTTGCATAATATTATAAGCTATCAAGACCAGCACTATAATTTATGCACTTATATTAATTATTAGTTAGCCATCTTAAGATTATTTTTTTTATTTTTGACATTTGTATTTTGGGAAAAATATTAATTTTTATTAATTCAATTAAATTTCATATTATAAAGATCCTAATAATTTCGATTACTCCTAGTAGATATAGATGGAAATTATATTTATCAATCAATTAATTGGTTAATATATCAAGATTTTATTACGCTCTTTTATACGCCACAATTCTATGGCCAAACTTTTGAAATAATGTAATCTATGACTTCTATTACTACACGCGATTGCTGTGCATCGCATTTTATCTCTAGTTCAATGCTCTCTGACCAATCTATATACCTAACTGATAAAATGCTAGTTACATATGGCACCATGTATCACAGTTCTACTCAGAGCAATGAGTTCAACTTTGTAAGTCAGATTTATTGATAGTATTCCTAATATAGCATGTTAATTGATAGTGATATTCCTATCAGTTGCCTTGGTAAAATATTATTTTATTTTATTTAAAAATAAATAGATAAATGATGATAATTTGATTGCTTTTACATAGTCTAAACATAAAAATTTATAAGTACCTACATAACTTAATTTACATTATAATTAGTTATTTGACGTAATTTATTATTATTTAATTTTTATATTATAATAAACAATAAAACTTTCTTAGCACGTAATTTAATATTACTTGTAATAAAAATATTTTACTTGTAAGTTTTTGTTGAAAGATTTTAACGAAAGTAAATGTAACTGATATAAAAATTAATATGGTCAGATGTTATCTGCTTTCAAATAGATTATGTTCATGATTAGGTACTAAATAGAATAAGGTAATAGTTACTGTTTTTACAATACTATTTAACAAATCAATAATGTATACATGTTACTTTAAGTAATTTTAAATTTTAAATCTCTTAATTTTTTTGTATAGAAATTTTCGTTTATAAAATATAAACATATAGAAATTGTAGTTAATAAAAAATATTTAATCAGTTCAGAATTGGCGATTGACATCATGCAATGGCTTGCCAATATTAGATTTCGAATGTCAAAAAAATTTACGCTCTACTTGGTAAAAAAAAGGTATCCGTCGCCTACATACACAAGTAAGAATAGCACCATGGGCTTAAAAAAATATAATGTGACGGTACTCGTAATGCGTTGCCGATCCTCCGGTCTGCTAAGATGTTATGTCAAACTGAAACAACTATGCAAACTCCTTGGCGGCGAAGAAATGGGTACGTCCCATTTCTGTATCACCCATATGCCCATAAGGGTGGTTCTTTGTTTAGAAGACTTATATACATATACGAGTACAATCTCCTTCTGGTCTATTTAGACTTTAAAACGACAACTGCCAAGAATATGGTTGGCTCAAAGCTGTTTTCTTATTATTTATGACTGGGTCTAAAACTCATGGCAATTTTCTCATTTAATGTATAATGTCTGCATAGTATATTTATATATGTAAGTAGGTTCATAACTACATATTATATGATACTGTTATTTGTGCATTGTGTTGCATTGTGGCATTTGGGAATTTTTTGGTTTTAGATGTTTGGACTATTAAACGATTCATTAAAGTTTTTTTTTTTTACTTTTCACAGATATGGACAGAAAGTACTTTTGGGCATGGACAGACTTCCAGAGCTATGTGGACTGCATGCTGGTATTCTCTGTGTTCGGGGCTGCTGTCACGTATCTACTTATAGAATTTTCTCCGTTCGTTGAGCTGATTGGCTTTCTCGCCGTTTTCACTGAAGCTATGCTGGGAGCGCCGCAGATAGCTAAGAATCTCCAAAATAAAAGTACAGAGGGAATGAGGTGAGTAGTTTGGTTTTTTTATCTTAATTCACACAAGCAAAGCCGTGAGGTATACTAGTCAAATATAAATAAAGAAATATATAATTCAATTAAATAGCTATCTCTGTGCCATTATAGATGAGATAAAGCAAATTATTTGCTTTCTTTTGTTCCAATACACCACGTGTTCTGTCTGAGACCTCTCTCAGATAGTTGACACTTACGCGATCTGTCTAATCATGCTCCTCACTCATACCACTGATAATAATACTATATATATATTATATATTAATAGGTACTTATACGCATGCATATTTTCTAGTGTCATAGAGTACTAATAATCGGACCCGGCTTCGCACGAATAGATAGAATTTTCAAAAATAATATGTCGCCTATGTTACTCGCTGATAATGTAACTATCTATTTTTAAAATCGGTTGAGTAGATTTTGAGTTTATCCATTACAAACAAACGAGTCTTTCCTCATTATAATATTAGTATAGATTGATAACTGATAAATATGTTTTGTTGTTTGTTGTAGTAATTATGTACACAAATCATATGACCTACTTATATTTACGAATATTTTTATATAACCCACTTATGAATCCGGTTGTCTATTAATAATAAATAGTTTATTAAAGTTTTATTAAAATTTTAGTAGGCCTTTTATAAATATTTTTTTTAGAAATAGATATTTTTCGCCTGTTGTCGTAAGACTTGCCTTGTCCACATTTTACCTAGAATGTTAGAATCTAACTTGACAAGTTGTGACTACCACCATCAGTCGAATTAGTTTGGTTCTAACATAGGTGTTTTTTATCATCAGAATGTTTTTTTAATGAGTGAAAAAAGAATGGCAACAACGCTTACGCTATCCGTATACTCTGGTGGGGCACCAGTAAGAGATGATAGATGAGGGTGAAAGCAGGTTAGTTGGCCTGACCAATTCATCAAGAATTAACCACGATGGTTTTCAGGGGAAACCGTGTGAAGGTCGACTTGATAGGGTACATTGCTAGCAACGGGACTTTATCCCCATTGTTAACAAATTGACACACAAGGCTTTTCATGGCTGTCAATAAATCAAGTCCTTAGCGGTATAAAAGTCGGGATAGTATACCACTGGCCTCTAACGCTCACTTATATTGCTTAATACTATTTTACTGTTTTCAGTTTGAGTATGGTTGTAATGTGGACATGTGGTGACATATTCAAGACTGCATATTTTGTTATAAGAGAAGCGCCTACACAGTTTTGGGTGTGTGGTGGACTTCAAGTTGCCTTAGATATTGTTATACTCTTCCAGGTAAGTTTTGTATTAACTTGTCAATATAAATCGTGTTTTCATATTATGTACTAGCAAAATGATGGGGTGTGTTGTCCACGTAAACTATTTTGTAAAAACTTATATAATAAAATATATGTTTATAAAAGATACAGTTATGCCTGCCTGCCTCAATAGGAGGCAGGCGTGATAGATATGTATGCGTGTATGTATGTATACATGATACAATAGATCTGTATACCAAATTTTATTCAAAATAAGCACAATTTCAAGAAATTCATACGGGACTGAACAATACAGATGAAGTTTCTGAAAACAGTGTATTTTTTTTAATTATACTAAATTTGATCAATAAAAGTGTTACAAAAGGTTGGCCATTGAACTAAAATACTATCCCAGTAAAACTTTGGCCATATATTATATTCCAGGTGTGGTTGTACCGACATAATACTGCCGCAGCGAGACGAACGCGCCGCGGGGACTAGCAGTGGACAGAGACGGACTTATAGCACCTGTCCTGCGCCCTCCGCGCCCCACTCCACCGTCGTGCAAGTGGCGCCGCCCTAGTCCGGCGTTACACAGTCGCACTGTCGGTACCCTTCCTATATCTTCCATATATTTTATGACAGAAAACCCATGTATTTAACCATATGTTTGCCAAATAATCTACGTTTAGTAGATGTTGTACTTTTGAACCGAGAGAATCTATACACATCACGTTTCGGGAAAATAGTTGATTATTTAATTACAAATATAAGAAAAGAATGATATAATTACTTTGATTAAGCTCGGTTATAAAGATTAATTAAATCACTACTGTAGGTATTGTCTAAATACAATCATGTATTAGGAACCCGTTTATTTTATACTCACCTAATGTGTTATTCGAACATTTCCGTAGGTTTACGGTGCTATGGATCTGTGCCTAAATGATTGTATGACCAACGATGTATTTGTAAAATCCTAGTAGCATTTGATCTTGATTATAAAAATTAAAAAAAAAAATGCGAATAATATAACTATGTTAGTAGAATGACGTTAATAAAAAAATAGTCTAGTCGTGTAGTAACTTAAATGATCAGTGTATTAATAAACCCGTATTACCTACACAGGTTGTATTAAAGTCATTAGTGGCGTTTAAAACTAAGAATGTAGTGCATGTAATACATTTTAGGACTTAATTACGTAGCACCTGGAGTCGCGCTCCAATCAGGTTGACGTTTCAGTAGAGCAAAATAGTTGTTTTTGATAAAAAAAAAAACTTCTTATTATTTTCTGATCTATAATTATTTTAAATATGGGACTTATATGTCGGTATTGGAAATTGTTAGTAGGTACTCTTCCACAGTTTTCAAGGTTCAATACTGATCAGGTTATACAGTATGTAGAAAAATCTATGGGATAGTACTGATATACTTGTTTCACTTTATTATATACTATGAAACAATGATTTTTTTTATTGAAAATTGAAAATTTAAAAATATTCGTAAAACGCTAATTTCCAATAATTGAAATTGAAAATATTTAAATTCATTTAGGACGAGTTTACATGTTTTATTGTACGTGTACGCAGAAAGCAATTTAAGTTAAATAAAAAATTCAAACATGGAAAAGTCACTAAATGTTATTAGATACCTTACTTAGGAATTTATAAAGTGCAATTTTGCTTTAATCCTTGCGTATTCTATGGTGTCAAGCGTAATTTTAGTTTTCAATACTGCACTTCAATTTCAACCTATACCTACAGGTTATAATCTATTTACCTATGTTCTACTTTATAACGAGTAAACTAAATGATATATAGGTATATGAATATTCGATACATACCTAACTAAAGTTAATTAATAATTATAGTCCTCCAGTTTTTATATTAATGATGATAAAAACTACATTTTAATGTATGTTTTATTAGTTATACATAAGTACGTTGAAAGAATTATTTTAAACTTTTTATGCATATTTTAAATTCACGATCTGGACTTAACACGACGCGATTACAGGCAAATAATAACTACATACCAAATTTTTATTGCCGACGTTTTAACGTGGGTTTTTTTTTGGTAGTTCTGAATCGCGTAAATGTCAAAGCGATCCATTCTCGCTATTGAATACGGATGATGTGTCAGCTCGAAATATGAGAGAATCAGGAATGATGTAGTACTGAAAATAGAGACGATTGTACCAATTAAATACGGTGGAATTTCAACGTGGGTTACACCACGTCATTGTCGTCGTCCTGCCATGACTAAGACGTGGTGCGAGTCACGTCGAAAGGTCGGCAAAAATCGGGGATGTAGATACTATTTATCAACCGACTTCAAATGGAAGGAGATTCTTAATTCGGTAGTACTTTTTTTATGTTTGTTATCTCATAACTCCGTTAATTGTAAACCGATTTGGGAATTTATATATATAGATATTTATATATCTATATATATATAAATATCCATAGAAATTTTATCAATATCGGTTTAGTAGTTTAGATTTTAAATCAAAGTAATTGATTAGCCACAATTAAAGTCGATATTTTGTGTAACACAATTATGTGTACGCGTCGTTTTAAGTCTCGATCGTAAATTTAAAATATATTGAAAGAATTTTTTAATAAATTCAATTTATTCATATAGTAATGTGATTATTTTGCTGTGAATAAAATGTATATAAATATAATCTTGATTATAAATGTAAATATGTAATTAGATATAATGAATTATGCCATACAGTTGGTAATCTGTAATGTAATAATTATAAAAACCATAATTAATACAATTATCGATTCCAGTTCTTCGATAAACTGTATACAATTACCGAGTACAGATAGTACTTTATATGTTTTTTATTGTTTTTTTTTTTATAATGACCAATTATGCGACGACATTCAATTTTAAAGACATTTATGATAGTTCATATTAAATTGACTTATTTAATATATTTTTTTAACAGTACAAAGAAAATTATAACCAAAAGTTCAAATTAATACCTATCTACCATTTAATTTTAGAATGATTACTCATATGAGTGTTCTTGTCTTTAGCAATGGATTTGACGTTGTTTCGTATATAAATATTGTATAAATGTTTGATGTGTTCACTTTAGATGGATTAGATGTTTTTAAATGCATGAAAAAAAAAATTAAACCAGCTTGCGTTTTTAGTATATGCTGTGTAGTGGGATGCTAATAAGGGATGATAGATAAGGATAAACACAGGTTAACATCTATCTATCGTGATGTAATATTAAAGATGATATCAAATACTATAAAATGTGGTTATTTAAAAAAAGATAAGACACCAAGGACTACATTGGTCGAGTATTTTACATAAAAATAAAGCTTAAATAGCTTCCTAAAATACTTTTTATTGTACGAAATTCTGTAGCAAAACATAAATATTTATTATCTAATGGAATTTCATTATTAATACAGTATGGAATATCCCGTGCGATACTGGGAGACGATAATAGTCTATTCAGAGGGCCTACCATGAAACATTCGGAGCCAAACGAAACAAAAATTTGATGTTAAAATTACATAATACATACCGTTTGGAAATATTAAAAATGTTAAAATATTGTTCCTTTGGACTTTTATGATAGGATGTATGACGAACGAAATGTTAAACTCCATTTATTGGTCCGATTTTGGTATAAACAAAAACTCGAAATTGAGTCCGAAATTTCGGAATTTCATTTAATGGTAGACCCGCTGATGATGGAATATCATCATAATGATGGATATTGTATCTATCATCTGTTTCGTGTAGTAACAAATTTACCATAGGCATAATTACATAATTTTAATAACCTATAAGTATTTATAAATGCTTCCGATTAGACTTAGTGATTTTTTAATAATAAGATTTAGTATAGTGAGATGCATTTCCATATCAGAATGTAAATATTATTAGATGCTTGTATACCGTGTGATAGTTATGTACATTGTTTTATAATTAAATACTATCGATAGAGGGCGGGAAATGCAACAAAAGGGAAACTTTAAGAATCGTCATCACAATATTTAGAATTTTCAGTAACGTTTTTGTTGTAGATTTCTTATAACATTTTAGATTGTCATCTACTTGTACAATTGAAGTCCAGTTATGTTTCGTGCAATCACTATTTTCACTAGTTGTTTTTTCGGTTAGTTTATTTAGTTTTCCTCTTCTGTCTTGTAGATCCTTCGCAATTGCATGATCTTCATTGCAATACACACACAAATAATCCATCTTTCAATCTATAAATTTTAATAAATACAAAAAAGTGTTTAATAATCAATGGCCCACAAAATTGGAATTGTCAAACTAAACAAAATTAATCTTGAGGCACAATATGTCCAAAAATTCAAAATGACATGATCTTTGAAGTTTAAATATGCAGAAATAATGATAAGAAATTGAATGGATTAAATAATTGATTCGTAACCAAGTAATATTACTAAAATGGGAGTTTGTACAAAAAATACAAATTAATTACAGCTATGGATAACGTCATTGCAAGTCCATAAAGAAATTCTGACGCCAATAGTAAATGTCGATAAGAAGTACGTTATTCCGCATTTAGGTATAAACTTTGATCGGCCAAGCTTATGTAAATGAATTGTGTATAACCTAATTGAATGAAATTTTATTTTTCCTAAAAATCTCTATTTTGGCGGTGTGAGGTTTCTCTCTTACATACTTTATTCAATGGATGTTTATGTACACTATAAATAAATAAATAAGGGAGAAACCTTGAAACTAAAAGAGAAAATGATGAGACTATTTAGCACTTATTTAATTGGTAGAATATACCGTATTACGTTTAAAGAATGCATTAAATTTAAAAAAGTAATAATCCAAGACAAAATACGCCCGAAATAGTAGAATAATAAATAAACAACTGTATTTCATTTGAATTATTCATTTGTCATTGTATATTTTTATTTATGGTGCAATAAAGATTTAAATAAATAAATAAACAACGATAGTAGAATTCTAAAAAGAGTTGTCCATTCATAACAATAGTAGGATCATAAAGATTCTAGATGGTACGAAAGTATATGAACTATGGTTGTAAATAAGTGTTAGAAATATGTTTGTTCGTGGTCCGCTGAATTAAAATTATAGAAAAGATTTATATGATATGCTTAGTAGTAATATTATAAACGATGACTAATGTCATTCCGGCATAGGCTGTATATTAGTATTTTAGATTTAAGTAGCAGTTCCAAGGCAGAGGTTTCGTCGTGTGTTAATAATAGAATAAAAATATTTGAATTGTAACTATTAAGACCTGCGCAGGCGACTTTCTGTACGCGAACAAAATGTCATGTCTTTATACTGTCGATATTCCTTTATTTGTTGTATTTTATTGGAAATCAGACCAACAGAAAAGTTATATGCATTTCTACGCAGAATAACAGTAAAGCCGCAGATTATGGTTAAACATAATATACATAAGATAATAGACGGTAATTTATCTAAAAAAAAAAGTAAGTAATTAAAAAATAATTTTAAGTTTGCCCTAAAAAAGAAAGAAAACTAACAATCATTATGTTGAAAATATAACTTTACATGTTTTAATTACTTGATTCAGAAACCGGACTTTCGTGGTATAAGATGGATCTCTACTAACTTGCATGGACACTTAATAGGGATGGCTATTTATTTATCCGCCAATCTAAATAATATAAAAAAATTAGAACACACAGTAATACACATTCTTAAAACATTGGCTTAAATTTTATAATTTGTTAGTGATGTCTGCATATTTTTTTGTTAGTCTGAGATTGAAACCAAATGTGACGTAATTTGTTGTCTACATTAGTACCTATTTGTGAATAGTGTATACATAGTAGTATAAAAAAAAAGTTATATTGTAAATAGTGAAAATATATTATCTTTTTTTTTTATTTTAATTAATAACTCAATAAGGATTAAAGTAAAGAGGAATATCGCTCCAGGCGTAGAATAAAAACTATACGAGTATGTATGTATTAAATATTAATTTATGCTTCTAATTTTGTGATATAGGTTTGTAGCAAACTGCATAATACTTTTTTTTTTTTAGATAAAATTGAATACTCACCTATTCTAGCCACACGTTTTAGATTATATTTAGGTATACAAAATTAAATTAAAATTTGTTGACACAATTATATATTGTCAATAAGTATAGTCATTCTATTAAAATTATTATCAATTATTTAAACGAAAATGCCTTTTGAATGGCAATATTACAATTTATTTACTTAAATGTTATTTAGTTTAAAATTTGGCGAGTTCATTTATCTAAATATTAAGCAGCCTACACGTTCGCGATAAAAACCTCGAACAAAACCGCAGACGATGCGAGTTATAATCTAGTTACTTTTCAAGTATTGATACGTACTTATTACTACTGGTTACATATATTGAATATGTAATCAATAGTAATATAGAACACACATAAACACACACATTTTTATTATAACACAGGATCATGCGGCTCACCTGATGATAAGTGACTATCACCGCGTAATACTACTTACCTATAACCGTATACAAAAACAAATTTTAGATGGGTACAGCGCCCCTAGCGGCTATCGTGTGTACAAAGATCTATTTTGTGAGTGCTGCAGTTTTCGACCTGACAGGCTGTTGATATTTAGGTTTGTTATTTAATACTTTTAGCCATTTAAAAATATTTTCCATTATTAGAATAATTTTCACGGCTTCTCATTTGAAGACCGAATATTGTATTTTGATTTTATCATTTAAATGTCTACGATTGAAAACGTTACAAGCAAACCTAAATCTTTGGTAAGCATTACAGAAGTAGCTGATTTTTAATGAACTTAGAAGTTTTAAAGCTTAGTAGTCAGAGTGTCCACTTTTTGGATAAATCAAATTTTATTTGCTTGAAATTTAATATTTTTGAAATCTAGGAAATGCAGATCAATTCCGTAGAAGTAGCACTGTTGCCTACTTTTTAAAAATAGCATTAAAAATTAACTACTATTATAAAATACAAAACTGGACTATATAAGCTACCAGCACAGGACACTATTTTAATACTGCGACGCGTCCCTTATAGTTTACATATTGTGAAACATAAAGAAGTTTTATTGAATGAATTTTAGAGTGGGAACCCTGCTAATAAATAATAATAATAAATGTGATTTTACATTCATTTATAGCTTCTGCAATTTGTTGAGTAATTGTTATGCTTGCTATACAGTGAGTTTCGTATCCCTTTCGACCTGATGAGGTCAAAAAGGACATGAAGCTACGAAGCTCTCTCGGGGTACCGAGAGACAATTTTGTAATTGTGATAGTACATATCATAATATTATTGTATATTTAAATAATACTGTACATTAGAACTATATACCTATATATATTTGTCAATTAATTTTATATTACATAATTGTACAAAAGTGAGATAAATACCAATACTGTGAAGGTCTCCCAGCGAGAATTGTGGAGAATTATAAAACGTGAGTAAAACCGACGAATAATTACAATAAATGTCTATAGTTAATTAAAACCGTTGTCTATACTAATTGACACCGCTTTTTTAATGTTAAATTAAAGTTTTGACGATATTTGTTGAAAATTGTTCAGCTTAGTAAATACTGTCCACCCTATTATACCATTACTATAATAATCCTAATATTTCTTAAAAGATTTCTACTTGATTACCTTTACACGGTTTAGCGGATTTGTATGATTTTTAGTATACAGATATTAGCTGTGTACAATTAAAAATACTTATTTCTAAAACTGTTATAAATAATGCTTCGTTCACTTCAATTTTCGCTGCGATGTCTCTGTGATGTTGTCATTTAATTTCTTATACAATATAAAGTATACTGTTTGTTAAAGAGTTCTTTCATTTATTTATTATAATTCAATAATCACAAAATATTAAGATTAGACGCTACAAGCGTGGCTTGTGTCGCCTAAGCATTGGAACCTGCGCAGGCGCAGACTTCGACTAAAACGATCGAAATATATACGAAAATTTCCTGAGCATCGAATAAAAAACAAAATATTAAGTAGACAAATAATACGAACTAATAAGACTATTTAATAATTATCTAAATAGGTAGGGAATCCTTAAGTTGCGACTTCATGCTATTGGCTTATTTTTATGTTTTGCCTGAGACGTAGTAGCTCCCTACATGTATATAATAAAATTGTTACTTATGTTGACGATGTTTGCATGTAAGAGATATTTAAAAAAAATACAAATTAAAACATTAGTTCTTAGAATTTTTGCCTCTGTGTCGGTATGTTTGTTCCAGCATCACGCAAAAACTACTGCACCCATCTGGATACGATTTTCAATTGTTTTCTTATACGTCGTCCTTAAAATGTGTATATTTTATTTTGTTATGCCATCTAGATGTAATGATCACATTTCCTCAATCCACGTACAAAGTCGCGAGCAAAAGTTAATAAGTAAGTTGTTTTTTTTAATGCAACTTAGACAGGCAAACAAGCTGACGGCCCACCTGATGGAAAGTGGTAACTGTCACCTATAGACATGAGCAGTATAAAAATAAAATGGCAGTAGAAGTTTCATTTAGCTTTTTGTAAATTTGTCACGTCTACTAATTCGTTTAGTCTCTTTTGTGCAAAAAATAGAAGTTATTTAATTTTAGGTAGTAATATAAATAACCAATCACAACCGAGATCCCTGAAAAAGGTATCTTTCAGCCAGTTATTAAGTTAATCGCAAGAGGTTATTTATAGAATGACGAATGAAAATAACAAAGAACTACGGCTTCGACTAAACGGCAATTAATTTAGAAAAGTATGCAGGTAAAATTTGTAAATTGTCTAAATTCCAGAACTTTATTTATAAAGATTCCGATGCGGTAGTACACCATAAAGGTTCGTATTTCGTTTATTAAATTGGACAAAAAAGTTTCCTTTGTAAAAACCGTGCTGTCGTATCAAAAAATTTATTTCATATGTCGACCAACATTTCTTCAAGAAAGACGTTAAATTTTATGTTTCATAGATGCATCGCTGAATTTCGAATTGTTATGCCTACCCTGTCATTACACTACCTTTCGCATTTCTTACTGAATATACGAGTACATTATGAAATAATTCAAAGAGATTCGTTATTCCACGAATCTGTATCATAATTTAGTGGACATAATGCCCAGTAATCACCATTAAGAAGCTCTACATCAGCACGAGATTGCCGCTAGAGGCGACCCTTCAAAACGCGTCATTCAAATATTAGAGTATGATCACTAACGTAATGTGTACAAGAGCGTATTCGGCTGCAAAGGGAGGCAAAGCGGAGGGTGGATCGATGGTTGCGGAGCGTAGGTTGTATATTGAAAGCAGTGCCGCCCTCTGGCGGCGTGGAGCGCTCGGCCGTACGTCAGTTTGCGAAGCTGGCGACCGGCGCCCGGCTGTGCTCCAGATTGACCCTCCTGTTTGGGACCGTTGTGCGCTTGTCCCGCAGCAATGTAAGTAGACCTCTTCACGGCATGCATGTAATCTGATAAAATAATTTAATAGAGAAAATCCGATTTATAAGTAATAAGTGCATCTACAAATGTACGCTCAATATTAAAACAGAAATATTTTGAACATAGCGCTCCGCGTAGGTTTGTTTCTTTACAATTCTACATCCCATTAAGAGTAACGAGTGTCATGCGTTGTGATTTTTCCTGGCCTATTATTAGATTTATTCATATTTACCTTGTTATTGTAGAGTACATACCTAGGTACGTACTATAGTTTTTAACCTGCGTAATCGATGGTTTATATTCATAGAAAGGTCAATGGTGTTAAGATCTTATCAGTACTTAGTATTAATAAAAATTTGTATATAAGTATAATACAAAATCCAGGCAAACCTAAAATAAAACTAATTAGAAAATTAAATACGTCAGGTCTTTACAGAGACATGAATATTTACTTTATTAAATATAAGAAGAAATATACTTTATATATAATACTTAGGAAAAAATTAAAACCTTTTACAACAGTACACTCAGGCACATGTAGGTAAATATACCTAAGTACTTCATTGTCAAATACCTATTTGATTCTACCTATTCTATTTACCTAAATAGAATCTAAAGGCACTATATTTTTATTTTGATTAAAAAATAATTAACTTATCTTCCTACCCAGTTATATGACATGGTTAATCGATCCACAAAAATTATCTCGGGCCAGTAATATAGAAAGTTGTATGTAACTGCTTTAAATCCTAAATAAATACAGACAAAAGGGAACAATCCTACCAAATTCTATTTAATGGCCCTCCTGTAGATAAGATTAAGGAAACGTTCTCTGTTTACGAGTATTCCAACGCGCTCGCGACGTCATTGTTATTGAATTTTCTGATGCTACGCCGGTGTCTCGTTCTACAATTGCTTGTTATTCCCTCACCATGCTTCCGGTCTCTAACATTTTTTAAGACTATGAATATTTTATATTTATCATTTTACTATACAATTTTAAGAGTTTAGTGTGATCATATTAGATTAAACTGAGGATTATTTCCCGTTGGACTTAAAAGCTTGGACTGACATAACAAACTTAATAGAAAATTTGGTTCGCGCAATTCTATATTTTTTATCTGAAAAGATATACTTACAGATATATTATACTTACGACGTTATAACCTTCAAGAAAAGAGCATACTCCTTTAAAAAAGATCGGCCAGGTGTGCTACCTGCGATGCCTCTATTATTGCGGGCGATCATGGGCGGCGATAGTTCTTTTAATAGCATACAGCTTACCATCAGGTGAGCCGCATGCTCGCTTAGGGAGTTGGAGAGTTGCAACACGGGGAGTATAACACTCCCAAACAAAAATTATATCCATATTTGTTGGATCCATAGAAATTTTATTAAAATCGGTTTAGTATTTTAATTTTTAAATTATAATAACTGGTTTTACCACAATTCAAGAAGTCTAACCGACTTCTTTGTGGGACACAATTTTATTATTAAGCAACCAAGTTTTGTTAAAGTCAGTACAACAGTAACAAATCGAAACGTTCAATCAATAAATTGATTTTTTATCTGTACTTCTATGTTATTGGACATAAGCAAACTATCTTATAGACGGGGCAATTATTCATTTGTTTATATTCTAATTAAGTTTTATTAAAACAGAGTATTTAGAAAATTACTCATTCGCTTAATACAAAAGAATTTTTATTCTAGCTGTTTCTTTACCTTGTAAACTGCTATTTCTTTTACAAGACGTCTATATAAATCCTCTAGATTTTATTTAAATATGCCAAGTAAGAAAGAATTGAGATAAACCTTTATTATCTGTCACTTGCATCTTTCTGTCATTGACTTAACAGAAATATGCACCCTGAACTCTTTGCCATTTTATCAGCTTTTATGCCGAAAATGCATCTTCGTCTTTTTAGGTTAAATTAATAATAATTCTCAAATTAACAAATTAAATTGTTATATAGATAGGTAACAAAAAAAAAGTACAAAAGTCGTTAAATATGGGACCTTTTCCATTCGTTTTCTCGTTTCTACGGGAATAGTTGTGTTTGATGCTTTATCGATTTGAAATGGGATATGGTATTGAATTTTCAGGCTGGTACAGAGGAATAAATTTCAGGAATGGCAACGTTTAAAAAAATCATATCTGTTATGTCTAGAATGTGTGTAAATGACGGAACCGCTTTATATCAGGTGGACCGTCAGCTTATTTGCCATTTTATATTGCATAAAAAAAACACAAGTACCTAGCCGTAAATAGGACTTTTCTATTCGATACCATATTAATACTTAATATACTGTGATGTTTATCCACTTTGAAATCTCATACTGGTATTGCATCATAGGCTGTTGTTTCTAGTACGGTATAATTTACACCAACGCAAAAGAATTTAAAAAAATTATATCTTATCTAGAATGTGTGTAAATACGGAAATGTTTAAAGAGTTCGACGAAATTTAAATTTAGAGCCCCGTAGGATTTTTTGAAAGAAGAACGCTTTTATCAGCGGTAAATTTATTTTGTTGTCTTACCATATTATGTGTTCTATATATGTAAATATTAGGTAGGTATCAATATATAATTATACCATCTATAATCCAGCAATAGTAAGGTATTTGTGATAAAAAAAAATTATCCCAAGGAACATGGAATCTCGTAAGATAATTATGAGAAAGAAATACAATACACTGTTGCAAGAGAAGGAATTAAACATTTGTATATGAAATAGATAGATGGGCACTCTTTATTGTTCCTTAATAAAAACGAAAATTACAAAAAATACACTGTCTAAAAATCTGATTGCCGTGTTGCCGTGTTAGCCATCAATTCAAGAGACAATTTCCTTTTCCAAAATGTAACGTTACCATTTGGCTTTGACACTCATCTATAACTTAACCTACGTTTAAGACCATGATATCTATGATATGTTACAATCCATGCACAATGCTAAACAAAGGTGAATTGTTTATTTATATGTTACAGAGGCAATTTCCAAAATTGGACCTTAATATTTTTATGCTAAATTCATAATTTGCGAAAATATCGCATTACATACACAGGCGAATTCAAAACAATACTTTACTCCCCTCAAATAACACTAAAGTTAAATAAAGCCGATATAAATGATTATTTATAACTTCTTTTTACATTAAAAACTTAATTTAAGTGGCACTTTTATAATCATCTCAATATTACAAGGCTACTAATAAATTATAAATAAATAAATGTTAAAGTTGTTACACGAATTATGTAGGCACCTACCTTCGAAATTTGTCAAGTAATGCAAATGTTGCAAAAAGGGAAGCTAAAGGAAGGGCATACTCATTGTAATAAACCTAGATATTTCACTGCGTACAATAACTATGTAGCAGTTGACC